AGCACCTCCTAATAGATGGGTGAGTCGGGCAACTCGGACCATCCTTCTTAGGCATGCTGGCGTGGTCCGAGTTGCCCGATTCACCCGCCCCCGACTACAAATAGCGGCTTCCACCATGCTGCGACACTAGCTTGTTCAACATATACCTCTAAATCAGCAGGTGCTTGAAGCGAAAATGTCTTCAATGAGAATGCCAGCCCTCTTAGGGAGGGTTTCCACTAGCTCTGCACCTTGCTTTCTGCCCTGGGAATTCACGAAAGGAACCCCAAAACGTTGCCAAGCCCCTTGGAGAGATTCTGCAAAGGCTTGGGTTCCAATCTGCAGAAGTTGGGTCCAAATGACATGGATTTGGTTGTCACCCTGGCTTCCGTGGGAATTGGGATGGGTAAAAGTTCACTGCCAGTGCACCAGGGTAAAAGTAGATGGCACAGTTTCCTTTACTTGGGCAACGAAAGCGAATGTGCCAATGGCAATGCGCAAAGCTGGGAGGAATTCCCAAAGAGGCTTAGCCTGTGGTGAGACGGAGTACAGTAACCCTTCAGGGTCAAGCAGCATGCGGCCTAAAACGCCGCGCGCCGCAGGCAATTGTCTGACTGGCAAAATCAAAACAGCCCGGGTGGCTTTCAGATCATTCAAAAAGGGCTCCTCCCAACAAAACCCACAGAGCGAACAATGGCAATGGATGCTTATGGAGGGAGAATCCACTTGCTGAGTGTTGTTCCTTGACCTTGGCCCAAATCTGGGGCACACGAAAAATAACAGTTCAGATTCTGTGTCATGTGTAGTCAACCCTGAAATGTAGCCTTTTGTGAGGAGACTCCCTGCAAATCCATGGCACAAGAATTCCCCCAGTGCCGACGGAACTTTGACTTCAACTCTGCAATTCAGGCAACACTGATCCGCAATCGCTACTATCTTTCCAAAGCCTGAAATAAGGCATCTAGGGGTAAACGTTCTTCTTCATAGTGGGCACGTGTTAATTTGTCCCTAAAGTCGACATTACTCTGCATCTGATTCATTCCAACGTCAAGTCATGGTCTTCCCTTTGATTCCAACGTTGGCATTCCACTTGGTTGACGTTGAAAGGGGAGCAAACACACAAATGATAGCAGTTAAGTGGGGATTTCCCACAAAACCATAACAAGCAAAAACAAAAACAATTGCTTCCCAACAACCATGGAAACACGTTGCGAATCAAACTCCCGGAGCTCACGGTGCGCGAGCCCGCGTCTCGATGTCTTTCTCTTCGCTGGGAGATCGATCCAAACCAGAAGTTGCTCCGCAAGGGAAGAAAAACTCGCGTCCTGCCAGGAAAACCAAAGGAAACCAAAGGCAACCGAAGCAAGCCACAGGAAACCCAACAGAAACCCCACCCGAAGTTTCTACCCGGTTTGACCCACTTTCCACCAGACAGCGGCCCGCGGGCATGAAATGTGTTAAGGCAAGCGCCCGGTAGGACTTGGCCTCGAACAAAGGCGCCGGACATGTACAACTCCTGCGTCTTTAAGTCCTTTTTCCAGGCCAAGGGCCCCCTTTTTCGGGATACGGAGGCGCCTTTCGACCCCCAAGCTGTTCCCTTTGAGCCATAAAACAAAAGTGCCGATTCGGAAGTCGGAAGGTCAGAAAAAACGGTTTAGAGTCGGAAGAAACTGCCCCCCACCCACTAAAGGTTGTGTTTCAAAGAGGAACAAACTTCAAAACATCCAGAAGGGGTCTCTAATTTTGCCTACCCATCACGAATTTTTCACAGCGAGCCATTTTCTTGAACCAAGACCCAGGAAAATAATGTTCCCAAAACGGAGTTCTTGGGCAGCCGCAACTCCGTTTTTGGTATGTTAAGGTTCATTTTCCTCACATGAACATGAGCAGATAAGCGTCTCCAAGTTTCCTCTTGGACCATGGTCCATGGAAGTCTATACTCCCCCCCAACACTTCCCCCCCCCCCAAAAAAAATGGCTAAGTCTTATCAAGTGTTTGAAGATAAAATAGACCATGGACATGGCCTAGCCGAGTGGTTTGTGGGGAGGCTATGCTTCAAGCACCCGAAGAAAATGCGGAAAAAATGGCGCCTCAGTCCTGGTGCATCTGTACAGCTGGGCCTAACCTGACGAATTATCCTCGAGCGCGCGCCCCCAGAGCGAGAACTGTGTACATGCCGTCACACGTATGCATTGACTTGACTTCCCTGCGTTTTGGTGCTTGGTTGAGGTCCCATGCATGCATTCAATGACTTCCCAAGACCCCGAAAGGACCAGACAAAGAAATCCGGCACTTGCCTTTGAAACTCATGTTTACTTCACTTTTGGTCCCAACAATTGTAACTTGGTTGACGTTGGAAGGGGAGCAACAATTTAAATTTTGGCAGTTAAGTGGGGATGTCCCACTAAACCACAATAAGCAAAAATGTAAAATGTTTCCCAACAACAACCATGGTAAGATGCATGCCAACTCTCCTTCTGTTTTCGCCAATTATTCGGGGGTGAGCCACAAAGTCACGGCCGTGTTGGACCTGACAAAGTGGGTGTCCCCTGTTCAGGCTGGTTTGAAGGGAGGCCAAAAGAACACCACCCTTCGCACTGTGGGCGAACCCCAAAGGCGTCCTTTTAGGTCAGTTGAACAAACATAGATGGCACTAGTTTCAATTTGGTTTTAATGATGTGTCAAACAAAAAACATTGCCCCGAACGCCAGAAACAGGATTGGAACCATGTTGTTTTTGGTGCAGATTCCATTTTCCCCAACCCACCAAACTGAAAGGGATTTGAGGCGGAAGATGTTGACATCAACTTCACATCAACACAAAGATCAACTTGTCTTGTGACAAAGTGGAGACACCAGGTGGGTATGTGTCAAACAGGGAGACTCTTCTCAATGTCTTCGGCTTTCCTGGCTTCCCTTGCAAAGCGGAAAATCAGCTTTCCTTGGTGGGAGCCCCTTGGTTTCGGGAATCTTCAATTTCTGGTGCAGGGGCTAGATGGGAAACTCCTTAACCACCAAACCACCGGGCTCCAACCCACCAGAAAAAAGCCCCCCCCAAAAAAGAAGAAGACAACAAAACCCCCCCAAAAAAAAAACAAAAACAAAAAAACGGAAGGCAACAACAACAAAAAAACAAAGAACACGCACCTCAAACGGTAGGGCTCCAGGGGTCTGCGCATGGGCCGTGTGCCCAAACAGCCTTAATGGCTGCGTGGCTCTGGCCCCTGGTCCCTAGAAGCCGCGAAAGAAGAATTCGGAATGAACCGATGAACCACTTGCAGGGCTGTGGGAAATGGAATCCACTTCTGTGATACAACAAAATGAGCCTCCCAAACACTACCCCCCCCCCCAATATACAGGGGGGGATTCCCTTGTATCACAGAAGTAGGGATAAACCTGAGTCATGAGTCATAATCAAAACCTGGTACAAAAATGGTCGACCCAGAACCATGCTCCAAGAATTAAGAAGGCGGATATCCAGCTATTTATGGCTGGGATTGTCCCTTATTAACCTTCATCTACCCGGGTTTTGATTGTGGCTCACTTGTGGTTGGTTGCTCCGTCACAAGGGGTCAAACAAGTAGCAGGTGGGAAAAAGGTCCTTCATCTTCGAGATGAATACTCCAGGTTGAGAAATCCAGGGTCAACGCTGCGCCCTTCCCCCAGAAAACAAAAAAAAAAACTCCCTGTGGATTTGTACCTTCGGCGGTTTTGTGGAACGGACACCATGGGACGCGGGGACGGTGGAGTTAAATAGAGGCGGGTAAGTAAGGGCCTAAAAATGGTACAAGTACGTTCCCTATAATGGAAGCGATCGACGATCGGCGAGTGAAATCTCCTGTTCAGATGCCCCGATGGGCCACTAATATGGTTGTTGGAGGGCAGATGGCAGACTTCCCCCGCTTCGGCCGAGTCGTGCCACTTACTTAACCACCTCTATCCCACACACACACCCTCCGTCCGGTGTCCTATGGTTTCCAAAACCGCGGAATGTGCCAATCCACCGGGAGATGTTTTTTCCCAACAGCTGAAAGCTTTGGGGTCTCAGCCCAGACAGGCTCCGGGGGCCCTGAGGTACACCAGGGTTCCACGAGGGTTCCTAGGAATCCATCAAAACTGGGCTGTCCTGAGATCCCCCGCTAAAAGTGACTCACTTTTAGTGGCTTAAACCACCGAACACTAAAAAGCTCAAAAGCTAAGGCACCGGATGTCTGGGCTGGGAGCCGCTAAGAAAATCATAGAAACAACTGGCTGTGGCTCAAAATTAACCAGGAGGGGCAAACCGCAGGTGTTGGTTTCCATGTTCCCACGTCCCAGGGTACCCACAGCCAACTGGTAGGAAAACAACTGACCTCCGATAGCTTTCAATGGCTACGCAGCCGCCAGAGCCCAAGGCATCGCCAATCTAAAGGCCCCGCCTGTGGGGGATGGAATGGGTGGGGAGGTCTCCTTGGGTTTCTGCGACCAAAACGGACTCCTCACCATGGGTGTCAATTTTAGGGGAAATTGATGGGTTTCCCTGGTGGATGGAAGAAAACCACCGGGTAAACCAGGAATCGCCATCTACTTTTCGACCAAAACAACCAAAAAGGACACCTATGCTCTTCACTTGGAGGTTTCAGGCGAAGGGTACGTTTTAGTCAGGTAGCTCTAAAGGGAATCGGAAACCGAAGGAAACGGCCGGTTTGGGGCTTCCCCAACTTTGAGACATACCCAGTTCTCACCTTTTGCAGAATCTAAGGCAAATGGCGTAACTCCCGCATTTTGGTTCGTCCCCTTTACTTACCCACATCCGAGAATTGTGGCCATCTACCTTCACTCTGGTGTAGCCCCCAACAGCTGGCGTCTACACGAGTCTAAACCAGGCTTCGCCTTTGAGGGTCTGCAAGTAGGCGGACCCTTTTCAACCATTTGGAGTCCAGGCAAACCAAGCTGCCGAGCGGAAAACCAAGCGGGAGACCCCCAGCTTCAAACAGCCCGCCGGTTTCGGAGAAAGATCCCGGGGCTTGGGACTCGCCCGCCTCACGGCCCGGCCTCAAACCTCGGTGGGGGTTTTGTTCGAAAGGGATGCTTCAGGGCTGTGGGGAATGGAATCCACTTCTGTGGTACAACGGAAAGGGAAGCCCCCAAAAACTAGTGTGTTCATATAAAGGGGGATTCCCTTGTGTCACAGAAGTGGGGAGAAACCCCTTGATCCCACAACCCTGGGATGGACTTTGTTTTAACTGCTTGCAGCTGGAAACACGGTTCCAAAAACCTCAAGTTGCGTAAGTCCACTGGAGACAAAAGAAAAATAAAAATAAATAAACAAGTGTGCCCAGACGTGGTCAATTCCCTTTAGAAACAACAAACCAACGGGGGACAGCAACACATATTCTGAAGCAAATGAAAGGAAAGCGAGGCGAGTTTGGTCAACCAGCAACACTCAGCTCTGTCCCTTTCCCCTACATGCAGAGCTTGTCGCCAGGGGTCTCAACTTGGTTTACAGGCGGAATGAAGGAATCCCACGGGGGCAAAAGGGCAAAAAAACAAAACAACTAGTTGAGTCGCAATGAAAACCCGGAATCAAAGTGGTCCAAAGTCCGGCTTGGACTGACCTTACTAAGCTTCATAAACCTGAGAACCAAACAACTCGGACGCCCGGCCATCCAAATCCCACCAAAAACAGGGCAACCAGTTGAGCATTCCCTACTTACGCGTTGCTTAAGCTGCCATTCAAGCTCGCAGATCTGGAAGCAGGGGTGTCTTAATCACACATTCACTACGAGGGGGTTGATCAATTTCGCACAAAAGGTGGCAAAAAGACCCCCCTGGATCTGGCCGGGAAAGGGAGAAACCTTCTCACTTGTGAAAGGAAGGTGTTGCCGACACTCATTGAAGGCAGCAGAGCCGCAAGATGAACAAATGGCTGTGGCTCACAAACATGTACCAAGTAAACGAAACCAAAGACAAAGACTTGCGAACCCTAGCGCCACACCCAAATGGCCATGGGTCAGAATCCAAATCGTACCCCCAGTGAACATCTCAATCCCCACTAAAGTAGGTTCTAAGATGGGTGGTGCACCTAGACTAAAATGGGTGGTGAATTCACCTACCCCAAAATGGGATCCCATTCGTTTTGACCCACACCCAAATAGGCCAAAACCAGGTTGCAATGCTTCCCTTCTCTTCTAGGTCCTCCAGTAGAAAGGTTAGAATGGTACCCTTTTTTTCCGTAGTTTATTTTAGTATTAGGGGACCCCCCCCAAAAAAAAAGGGGTGAGCTGGGGGACCTTCTCTTTGAGCCACCGGCTTCGTAAAGCAAAAAACAGACACGACCACCCGGCTCGCTCCAAGGCTCGCGCCACCGGTGCTGCAGCAGCTGCTCGGCCGAGGGGCGTTGACTGGGGTCCCGCTGCACGCCTTTTTTGCGGCATGTTTTTCTCTCTTTTTTTGCGGCCGGGAAAACAACACCCGGTGCCTATGGGTGTCATGACTCAAAAGCAAGGGGTCATGGCCCCCCATTTGTTGAAAAAGTTCTGAGTAAGGGATCATGGCCCCTTCTTTTCGAACCCAGGTGTGACCATAGGTGGCCTTCTTGGAAAATCGATGGCGCCGGCCGATGGAATAAAACCACCAGGTAAACCAGGAATCGCCCAAAAAAACCATGTTCTAACCAAGCTCACCAAAAAGGACACCTCTGCTGCCCCGGGTCGGGAATAGCTTCTTGAGGGATGAGAAACCCCCCCGCTGATCTCCAAACCTTCGGGCTCCACACCCAAGGATCGGGGGAAGCTTTCGATAGACCCAAATGAGCTCGGGCTGGGTTGCGGCTTTCAGGAAGGGCTCCGGGGATGGGCTCCGGGTCTATTTTGGGGCTTCAGAAAGAAACTCAGAAACCGAGAGGATTTGTTGGGGGGTCCAAATTCCTTGTTTGACACGTTCTGACAGGTAGGGAATGTAATGGGTAGGATTGTGTATATATTCATATGTATATACCAGCCACAAGGATAGTTGCGGGTTTGCTTCCCAGGGAATCCTTGGAGCTTTCAGGAATGAACTGGAGGATCCCCAACCAGTCAGATGCTTCGGTTGGGCAGTACTCATTCCCTGTCAGGGATCCTTACAGTGAATACACCTGAACATTGCCTGGTAAATGGTGGTTTCCCTTTATTTTGGTGGAAAAAGCCATGTTTCAAAAGGGCAAAATGTATCTTTTAAGGAGCCCTGCCTGTCTTGTATTGCTTAGATGTTCAACCAGCTTAGTCAGGTTATGCTGAAAGCTGGGGCAACTGTTCCCTTATACCCATGGCTACAACCGACTTCGTTCTCAAGCAACCAAACACAGATACACACAATTCTCAAATTCCTGCTCTCGTGAGCCCGAACAAATAGAAAACAGAGCTAGCCTCGGGGCTCTACCTGCCTGGAAAAGAAACACAACACCTCAAACACCCAAACGCACAAAAAAGAAACGAGAAACACCTCCTCACAAGTCGCCGGCTGTTGCTTCTGTTGCACATGACAGACCAAAGGGGAATGTGCCAAAACTAGAGAACCCTCCACATGGTACATAATTGCCTGGCTCATTGCTACTTTCTTGAGGACAACATACTATCGATGTCGCTCCCAATTTGCGAGGGGTAGACAAACGGCAGTCCCAAAGGGAACTTGACCCAAGGTTCCAAGGCTCGGAGAGATGATTTCCTGAATGAGACCGCGAAGGGCTGGGAACTTCCCCGCTGTACCAATGGATGGCCCCGGACTCGCTGGTTTCCGCGATGGATCTGCTGATCTGTTGAAGGCTTCCCGGCCGAGATCCTTCACAACTTGCGCGACTCGCATGTCCACTGACCTTTCCATGGGTTTTGGTATAGTTCTTGGATTATTGTAAATGTTCTGCAAATTTTGCGAATAGCTCTGGATCTCAGACAACTCCTCGAGGCCCATGCGCCTGGTAAGGTAGGCCCCTTTCCAAAGCCAGCTTTGCCAAACCTCCGACTCTACCATAGGTCTGCGCCATTGTGAACAGCCCATGCCCGGCTGAATAAGCCACTGGTGACCATTCTGTTTGTAGCGGTCTATGCCATCAGCGAGCTGCAAGCAGCATTGATAACCTGTCCAGAATGTCACTGCACTGAAGGAGAGGTCCCAAGCGCTTGCATCTCAACAGTAGACCGAGCAATTGGAACATGACATGATGCTCTCGAGATGTAGGCGATCTTCAAGGACTTGTTAAATCACGCCCTACGAATTCCTACAGCCATAGGGCCGACCCGCGCAAACATACCCTTGGTATGGATGGAACCCGAAAAATCGACCAAAATCATGCCAACAAGGTTAAACCACGCATCGCTTCAATTTGATTTCCTTTCAAATGGTGCCTGATGAAACTATTTTTTCCCTAGTCACTGGGCGCTGAAGTGCCTTCCCACAGGCCACCCCAAATACTCCCATAGACGCGATGGCCAAGGTGCGTTCCCTGTGCTTGCGACATCTTGCACCTAACCCTGGAGTGATTCTCGATTCAACATAAATACCACTGATGATCAAAGTTTTACCATGATCAAAGTCACCCCCCAAGTGCTGTGTTTAAGGGAAACAACCCATTTTCTGACTTTGATAACCCCCACCAAACAGTGATGGTTTCAGCCATGGCTTCAAAGTGGTGCAAGATTGCGTCCATCCGCAGTAGGGGTCCAAAGCTTCCTGCGCGGCCCGGCTGGACCATTTATTTGCATCCGCGATTTTGAGGAAATGGGTACATTTCCCAAATGGGTGTGCCTAAAAGGGGATTGCAAGCAACCAGAAGGACAACCGCCCCGTCTTCGGGGTCACCTATTCTCACGTATCCATGTTACCCAGGATCCCTTGATACCTTCTGATGGCTTTGGGGCAACTTACTGTCAAGGAGCCGGAAAAGAAAGGTTAAGACAAGACTGGCTTGGTCCGTGAGCCAAACTGTTTCCCAAGTGTACCCTTACAATGAGTTAAGTCAAGTGCACACCTACGGCTACACTTTTGCCCAACCTTTTGGGGCCACTAAATATGGGCCAAAACCGGAAAACGAAGGGTCCAAATGTCGATTCCTTTGCGCAACCGTGTAAAAAGGGGGTCCTTTGGTACCCTATTTTGAGACATCACATGGCTGAGGTTGTCAAAAAAAGGTAGAACCCTGGAACCTGCGGTCCATATCCTGGTGGTTCGATTTCATCACATGACGACTCAGGCCCTGGCATGCTCTCACGAAGGCTTCCCCAGCCTATGGGAGATGCCGGGCCGACCTTTTGGGACCGAGGGATTGCCACGTGGCAAGAGGGTCCCTCTCTTTTTTTGGCCGGGGGGGTGGGGGGATAAAAGTTTTTTTTTAATACAGGGGTACCCGAGTATTGAGACCAGCGCATATGGGAGTGAGTAGGTGAGCCCCTAAACTTGATAGTTCCTGGATCCTCTACTAGAAGTTCAACTTTTAGTGGGATATGTCATAGCTCCGCGACAACTCTAGATATATTCATATACACTAGTTGGAGAGTACATGGCACAAATCAAGCATATTTTTCAGACCTGCTTGGCTCAGGTGAAAACAAAACAGTCCTGCGCTGTCGGGAACAATCCTTGTTGATCTGTCAGATTGTGCCACATGTGTGGGAGATATTGACCACAACAAATCATCCGCCAACCCTTCTTCTGCTGATTCCCAGGCTGCTCTGTCACGCATCCACTGCGTTGCTTTCCTCTAGTTGGAGAGTGGTGCAAAAACATAAATTCCGCGCCATCTGGGTGCACAAAAATTGTGGTTTTCCTTTTGGGTTCTCTTTCACACCCCAAACAAGGGGTACCACCAACAAAAGACACCCATAAATCTCTGCAAAAAAAAAGTCAAGAAAAACTGTGATGAGGCCGCATTTCAGCGCGCCCTTGAACCATTGACTGGGTATGGCAATCGCCGTTCGCAAAATGTTGCCAGTTTCCCATCTGTGATTTCCAACTTGATGTATAGTGGCTGCATATCCCAAAGAAACCTTGATGGTAGCGGTTTGCAGGTGGTGTAAACCATCCTAGAGACAAAGAAAACGTCGCCTCTCCCAGGGAGTCCGGGATGGGCGGGATGGCGTCCGTCATGGAGATGTGCTTCAGCGCAAACATCACCTCGATACCCCTGTGCTTTAATTGGGTTGGTTCCAGAGGGCGATCCAACCCCATGTTTAAACATATTCAAAGACCTGAGTGTGGGTGTCCCCTTTTTGAGGGTAATTACTCTTGGGGTGGATCAAAATGGAAACCAAAAAGACGTCCACCATTTAGGGGTCGCAAAAAAAAGAGAGAGAGAGAGAGAGAGACACATCCACCTACTCTGTAAGCAACATCCTTCTGTTTCAACAGTTGTTGCCCAACCGTGGTGGAGTTTTCATCCTGGGGACCCGAGCCACAAAACCGACATGATCTTCAAAGTGGGGGGTACTACATGAAACATGATGTGCTTCACAGAACCCAAACCCGCAAAACTTTGGCAAGAAAACGCTAGTATATTTGGAGAACGGCATGAGGCAAAAACAATTTGCGGTGTCCCTGGAACCAACACTGACTGATGTATCTGAAAGTCTCACTTCTGATCGAGTGGATGGGCCAAAAAAACAAAAAACTGTCTTTGTCACTGAAACTGTCCAAGCCAAAAAGTGACAAAAGTTACCAAAGTCCATGAACTCGAGTGAAATATTCCAAGAAATCGACACAAACATAACAAGGAACCTGAGGGTTCCTGGAGGAAAGTGGCCCGTCCATTTGCGGATATGTCCCCATGCCAAAAAACCAAATCTGTGAAAAAAACATTGTTTGTTGCTATTTACAGGGGAATCGACTCATTCCAGGGTTTCTTGGGTGTGAAATGGATTTCATTCATCCACAGCAAGTCCAGTGATAGATTCCCTCTAAGGAAAGACCAAAGCCGTCAAATGGAAACCACCGGGGGCCCAAAAAGGCTCCGTTGGGAGACCTGCGGCAAGCCTCGCAAACTGTGCGGGTGATTCAAATGGGATCTGAAAACTGCGGGCGGGGGGGGGGGGGGGGTTCAAATGGCTGCGTCTTTCGTTGATGGTATCCCCATCTTTGTGGTTTCACGGGGAAACCAAAAGGAACACCACCATTTTGACGGGGGGGGGGGGGGGTGTTTTTAATTTTCCCAAAACAGGTACGCCCAAATAGAGGGGGATCCCATTTTCCTCATCCGTAATCCGTCCCACGCCTACTTCTTCCTTCCCCCAAAACAAGCGCGACGTTGCAAGCCAGCAGCGTTGTCGAAGGCGTCGTTGCCCCAAGGCTTTTCCTGGAGCATATCCAAACCCCGCCCCTCGCCTCCCCTCTTCCTGGTAAGGCTTTGATGAGGTATTACTAGGGTCTTGTTGGGGAACAGGGGAGCGGGGGTTGGGGAAGGAGGCCTAAGCCTCGATCCTGCTAGGGTCTTGCATTTTTTCCGAGAAAGTGTGGCGTCGTTCCTATGAGAGAGGGAACAGTATGGGGTGCATGAAAACCAAATTAAGCTGTGATTATTGAGCAAGATTCTAGTACTCGTCAAGATAAGCTCCATGCCTCCAACAAAAACATCAGCCCACCAAGGAGAGTTCCAATTGATGCTTATGCCAATCATACTATCAGCTACTTACGCATGTGAAGCAGTTATATGCCACCCCCATTCCGATGTCGGGGGCCTATGGCGTGTGTCCATCTCTATGGGTTGGTTGACAAATTGGTTTGAGGAACCAGACCTAAACCAAAAACAGGAGCTGTTTTCAAAGAGTGTTTAAAGCCTCCAGTTGCTGAAATGAGTATGCTTTTCATTTTCCACTCTTGGTTAGTTGCTCATACTGTCCAATGGACTGAAGCAAATGGAAGTTCATCATCATTTGGCCCGCAAAGTAACATGGAACCCACAGGGGTCAAAAAGTAGATGCGTCTCTTGGGATTTCATGTGAATGTTTGAGGAGTTGTCTAAGCTGGTGTCCTGTCAGCAAGCGTCAGGACACCATGATCAGTTGCTGGCTAGGGTTGATAGGCGAACACGACCAGACCATGGTGTCTCTTTAACTTGGTGGTTCAAAAAGCAGCCATCCCGGTCCGGAAAGATTCATAGTTGTGTAGTGGGTTTGATGGTTGGGTTTCCGTTTGGATATGGCTCGAAAAGCTGTACCCAAAACTGGCGCCTTGGTTTATGGGAGCAAACACTAATTTTGCGTGACCTTCGTAATTTATTTTTGAGCCACACCGCAGCCACACCCATTTAACCCACAAGTTAAACTTTTAGCGGAGATGAGGACCGCCTAGTGTGTGTTTCTGCTTCTGGGGGGTTCTCAAAGTCAAAGATTGGAGGAAATTGCAGTTGTCCACCCACAGTCTCACTGAACGAGGCTGACTTTGATCATGGAAAGCTAATGGTGCCGTGGACATGTTTGTGAATTTTAGAGACCCCCTTTGGCGGACAGGATGTGTTTCCTTCCTGGAATGAGTTGGAAAAGTGATGGTTCCAATGGGAACTCATTCCAAAAGAGAACCCGCCAACCTAAACTTTAACTTCGGCCCGATGCTCAACACCAAACGGTGGGATTGAGGGAGCCCAGTCTTGTTCTACGGTGACAGTGGATGGCACAATTCCCGGATGTGGGTAAGGGGATGACTACTCCAAGATGAGGGAGTCGCGCCATCAGCGTTCCAAACACATTGTCATTGGGGCGGCATATAACTGCTTCACATGGTTGTCAAGTTTGCTTCCTTCAAGGAGGGTGCAGGAGCAGCTGAGAGAATGATTGATGGATGAGGGAGTTGCGCCATGGGCCCGGGGACATCGTCGACAAAGGCGACAAAATAGATAGATAAAAAGAAAAATAACTTAATAAAAAACATAAATAAATAAATAATTATATAAATATAAAGAAAGATAAATCATACAAAGAAAAATAAATAAATAAATAAATAAATAAATAACTAAATAAATCAATGAATAAATAAATAAATCAATAAATAAATCGATAAACAAATAAATAACATACAACAAAACAAGCAAAACGAGAAACCATAAAATAACATATTTTGTTGGTTATTCAAGGCGACATAGGCGACTCTGGCGACGAGCGGATCGACTTCGCCGGGCTGCGGCGGTGGCCATTTCCAGCACGGCGCAGCCCAGGCTCCAGAGGTCCGCCTAACCGGTGCCCACCGGGGCCCGGTGGGGTGCGCTTCTTGCTTTTTGCGGGTCCTTGGATTTGTAGGGCCTTGATTTTTGTAGGTCCAGGAAAGCCAGATGTGGCTTGAAGGGCGGACTAGCCCTAGCAACCCAATTCAAGCTGTCTTTTGAGTTCGACTGCGCACAGGTGTCAACATAGCGTGCCCGACAAATTTGGGACCCTTTTGTCTGCCCGTCATCCCAACCAAAACTACATTCCGTACACAGCACCAACACACTGGGCCCAAAACAGTCAGCCAGACCCAACAGCCTCCTTCAATCAGCAGCCCCAACAGAGCAGAACTACTCCAAGCTTCCCCTACAAAACACCCCCCCTCCCCCCCCCACAGAGTAACCCCACCCACCCTGAGCAAAAACTCCCATCGACCCCATCCGAATCCAGTCGCAGCCGCGCCTTGCGACCATGCCCCTCCCGCTGGAGGATGACCTGACTTGAGTCGAATCTCCCCGAAATAGGGCGAAAGAAGGCCCAGCAGGGCCTCACTTGCCCAAAGGACCTGGAAATAAAAGCTCAACCTTTTGGAGCCATGACTAAATTGGACCAACATGGCCAAAAGCCAAAAGGTCAAAAGGTCGGCTTTGGGCAAGTAAGGGGCTGTGATTGAAATGGAATCCACATCCCTAACCAGTTTGAAGTCCAGCTGGAAAAAAGTAGGAACATGTCTAAACTGATTAAGCACCTCTTGTTCAAACAACCTCCTTTTCGTTGGCCTCTTTGCGGGCTGCTTGTTTTTCTCGGTGAATTCCCCAAGACCCTGCACCAGGGCGAGAACTCCAGGCGCTCTTTGGTTGCAAACCTTGGCCTCCGCCTCCGTCTTGCTTTCGGATTCCATGTCCGTGAGCTAGGCTGGAATTGGGAGAAAGACAAATCAAAAGAGTTCGTCGACCTCAAACTCCAATGAGTTAAACTCTTTCCGCAATAGAGGACCCCAAAACAGTCGCAAGATTCTGAACAAGGAAAACAACGTTCTACAATAGAGGCCCGGATTACAAGTGGAGGTCAAACATGAGCAACAGAGATCCCAGCAAGCATCTGTTCCTCAAGTCCTCTCCAACTCAATTCAACTTCCGGGTTCCATCGAAAATCCACGCGCAAGAGAAAATGGAAGGGGGCCACAAGGCCACCGACGCAAGAATCCCATACCCATGACTACTTTGCTGCTTGAAAGGTGGGGACTTCAACTCGGCATCATGGGCAACACTCCAAATGCAACTCAATTCCAACTCAGTGCCACAATGTCAGTGCACCTCCGAACCTGGAACCGAACACACCGTTTCGAGCCGATCAAAAGAGCCAACCTGCAACAGAAACTTCAGCCGACGAACTGACCTGCTGAGTCTTTCCGGGCGGCAACATTTGAAAGAAATGCGCAGGGGCCACTCTTGGTTGCTGTTGACTCTGCAAATCGTGCATCACTTTTTGTGGGTCCAATTCGGAAAACCCGCACCTGTTTCAACCAACAAGTCTTTCTGTTGACTTTTTGGGTTCTCTTTAAAAAGAAAAAAAAAGAGAGAAGGAAATAGCCGTAAGGCACGCCTCCGGCGCCATCCATGGGATTGACCCGATGGTGGTGAAGGACTTGGTGAGGTCCTGCCACGCTTCGCAGTTGCTGAGACCTTTCGGGAGAAAAGTGGGTTGGAACCCGCCCCAAAGGAGCTGATTGGTATCCCAAGAGCATGGTAGCCACAACTGGCATCCAACAAATGGTGCCGCCCCCAGACCCCCCAAAGGAGTTGCTGATCAACAGCACCCTTTGAAGCAACCGAAAGGTTTTCATGATTCCACAGTACCCCTTCATGAACGGAGTTGCTGATTCTGGTGGAGTTGTTTGTCACATGTAGAAGAATTCAACACCAAGCTGCGGGGCGGGTTCCGTGGCTTTGTTTGCGACGAGATCTGGGCCATCAGCCTTTTGAACGCCTGGATCTGGGGATTTGATGCGACGATTTGAGCGTTGTCTGGGCGAAAGATGTGTTGGACGATTCATATTCAGTGTCTCAAGCCCTGTTGGTGGCTGTGCAAAACTCGCGCCTGGGCTCTGCATTCTTCCGGTGAAATGCAAATTTGGGTGTGCCTTTTTTAAGGTGCCCCCGTTTTTTTGTGTTGAAGGGGAAACCAAAACAGTGAGCCACGATCCTGGGGTGGTCTCCTAAAAACAGACATGCCCAATTCCGCGTAGCAACGAGTCAAGGCTCCTCGCTCCCATTTCGACCGCTGGATCATTGGCATGACCTCCCAAAGCTAAAGCAAAAAAGGTCGAGCTCCAAACGCTCGAAGGTCTCGCGTGGATTTTTGTGTCTCAGACCTCAGATGCCCAGCGGCATCGGGGGAAAAGAGGGCATCCTTTATTGGTTGGCGGACTTCTAAGGAGTCGGAACCTTCCCCAAACAATAGTTGAAACATGGGCACCCACTGGGCAACTGGGTCTCGCCGGACACTTTCTCGGGGCTTTCAACTTGGCCCTTGACCCGCCTCTGTCCGAGAATGTTCGACGTGTCTCACGTGACCCTAAAGTATGTTTAGGAGACAGAGGGAAGCCAAAAGCAAACCGAGAAACAAGCTACCCTTTCAAATGGGGCGCGCAAGCGCACCCAGCCCATATCTTGGAGGGGTCCACCCCGCCCCCCCACTCACTCGGAGAGCTCCCACACTTCAAGACACACAAATACACACGACATACGCACATACATGCATATCTGCTTGCCGGAGCAAATTCATTTGAAATACGGCCAAAACTCAACTCCGCATGTAGTGAAGGATACCCTCTGCACAGGGACCAACAACTCATCAAGCATTGGTTTATGACAACCGTTGACCTTCCTTAGACATTGGAGACCAACAAAAAAAAGAGGCTATGCTCAAAATCCCGTACCCCTGTTTGCACCTCCAAAAGGGTCCATGCTTGAGGTTCCAAGACTCTTAGGGCTTGACTAACGGACCAAGGGACTGTTAAAAGGTCGACCGCCATCTGAGACTGGCGCAAGAGCTTGGCGAACTTTTCGGGAGCGCCAGTGAACATCCGATTCAATCCAACCACACAAATAGGTTCTAAAATGGGCGGTGAATTCACCCATCCCCCAGGATGGGATCCCATCGGTGTTGACAACCACGGCCAGATGTTTGTCGCCCCACACCCCGCTCCCAGCTTCGGCTTCGCAGCCGGTCTCCTCCTTCTTTGAGCATCCAAAGTCACTGAGCTTCACCTAAGTGAGACACGGAACGACCCCGAGGAGCTTCTCCTCCATCCATTGGTATCCTTTTTGGAACATAGATGGCCCTGGGACATGGAATAAAACTTATCCAAACCAATGGAACCCATCTATTTCTATTCAAGCTAACCTAAAAAGGACTCCTATGGATCCATCCAATCTGGCTTCCTTTAAAGAGAATCCCCTTCCGGCTGGTTCCCATGCCCGGAAGGTCAGTCCCTGGTGTAGCAAGAAGTCTAGACGCCGGTGTGCGTGCATCCCGACTTTTTGTTTGGAGGCGGTGTCCGTTTTCAGGGGTGGTTTGGAAAAAGAGCCAAAAGAAGATAAACCAAAAGAAGAGGGACATCAACAAAAACAACACGAACCGCTGGGAGTGTGTGTGTGTGTGCCTTTTTCCGGAGTAAGTACAAAGGACACACCCATTCGAGTCCTGCTGAAGGATAATTACCAAGATTCCGCAGCTCCAAATCACTAGGTTGATTTTCTGGATTCTTTCAACTAAACCAAAAAAATCCAAATCAAGTGAGCCACAACTTTAAAAAAAAAGAACACGGTTCTCAAAATGGACACTGGCAAACTAGCGTCCCCCCCACATGTTGCGCTGCGGCTCGCTGTGCCGTGTCCTGAACCCCGCATGGATCATGATTACGCACAATGTGGCACAACCTCAAATGGGGCTGCCCGAGTTTAATTTGGGGCCCCTTTTCTACCGGGAGCTCCCGAGGAAAAGTTGCAAGCCTCTGAGGGCTTCTGAGCGGGTGAGGGACCTTTGTGGAGAAGCGCTCCTGGCCATGGCCCAACTGCCGCAGGCCAGCTGGCAAGAAAGATGTGGCTGTGGGTCAAAACCAATGGTACTCATTTTCGTCTATCTTAGTGGGGATTGGGATGCTCACTGGAGGTACGGGGTTTTGACCCATCTCCATCTTCTTTGAATGCGGTCCATGTTTAGTGAACCTGTGAGAACAGAGAGCAACCCTCGGTTACTTTCCGCTCCCCTGCTAAAAGTGAATAACTTTTAGTGGTGTATTTATTTTATTTATTAAAAAAAAAAAAAAACTTTAGTTGGCAAAAAGTTCTTCAGTCCTAGCCCTTGGCCAAAATGCGCCCAAAGAAACCGGATCTCCATTCTATTCGGCCCGTGACCTCGAACCAAGGGACTCCCTCCCCGACGCGGCCGAGAAGTTCTCTGTGGCTCCGGACATTGAAGTTCAGGTCCACCAAGATGTTGGCGCCCTTGATATCTCCTCAGCCCAAAGCTCCCGAAGCGCCCAGAACAGTTCCGAAACTCCAAGTCCGCCGCTCGGGCGGAACGCGCGACACCCCCCCGCTTTTGGCTTTAGGAAGTTGGGGTGAACGCATAATCCAAGGCACCAACGAAGGAGTACTTGATCCTTGGTTGACGTTGGAAGGGGAGCAAAAATCAAAAAAAATAGCAGTTCAGTGGATTTGGATTTCCCAGGGATTTCAACCACTAAACCATAATAAGATCAAAAATGTAAAATATGTTTCCCAACAACAACCATGGATCCAGGATGTTTTTTTGTTGCGAAACCCACGGGCATCCACCTCTTGATCCCAAAATCTGGGGTGGATCTGGGTGTCTCTCAACATCAGCCCTCTCTTTTTTTCAGGTGGTTGGTTTCCTTTGGGTCGCCCTGAATGGCGCAAAAGCGGGATCCCTTTTTTGACACACACCCATATACAAATAATTTCCACGGGACTCCCTGTGCGTGACACGGTACTGAACATCGGGAAAGAACGTGGGCGACTTTCATCCGACGGTTGGATTTCGCACAAGGAAACAGTAGGAGCACTTTGCTTGCTGGTGCGATAGGTAAGGAATGCCCTGGGTTTGGGGAATGAACCCAGGGGCCCCCTGAAAGGCAACCATAGGGGAGGGTGCATAAGGGTCACCGTCCCTCATTCCCTGCCGATCGAACCAGCAGAAGGGAGCCGAAAAGGGGTCGGCCCAAAATTCCCCCCTTCCCCGGCTTTGGTACGCCGAAAACAACTTCATCGATTGCATCCCCGGAACCCCTGAAGGGGGAAGGGTCCCGCAATTCCGCGATTCGAGTGCCAGTCCCAGAACTACTTTGTCACTTCAAGTTCGATCCCCGATCGACCAGACATGTTCACCCAGAGAACCACCCAACCTTCGAAAGGCCAGCAGTCTCCTCGGTGTGAAGGGGAGTGCGGGACCCCTGGCCCAAAGCTAAAGTTTCAGTGGGAGATGTCCTAAGAATCCAAGCCCAACCTCAGACCCAAAGCTCTGAGCTGTTTGCCGAGCCTCGGTGCACCACCGGGGGATTCTGCGTGTGCAAGTAGCTCAATCCCTCCAAGACACCCTCGGAGCACTGCTTCAGAAGCCGGCCTTCCTCGGTGGTTTTTGTCTTGGCATGTGAAAAGAGGTGGAAAAAAACGAAACACGTGCACTCCCAGCGCGTCCCGTTTTGTTGTTTCTTGGGTTCACCGGTAATTCACTGAAGCTGCCTCTGGCAGTTTTGGGCACGAAACATCTGGTGCGATAGGTAGGGAATGACCCTCCGGGATTTGGGAATGAACCAGTTTTGGGGATTCACTTAAAGGAAACCAAATTGGATGGATGAAATCTAAGGGTCATTCCAATTCTCATTTCATGCCGATCGAACCAGAGATTGACTACCTTTCTTGCAGAAAGCAGCCCCCCCCCAGCACTAGAGCTGGGTTTTTGCACATTCCGGTTGCATCATGGTCTCTCCTTTCTTGACACCGCTTGTTTGCGGCTTGGTGCGCAGGCCTCCCTTCGACCTGGGAGTGGAGGTCTTTGAAGTCTCAAACCTGGGGACCCCAAAATGGGGACCGGTTCTCCCACAGATCCTGAGACCCTGAGGCCACTTTCCAGGGCTCATGGGTCTGTCTTGTTTGGAAGTTTGGGGGAAATCTGTTTGGTTTGTGATAAAGGGAAGCAAAAGCAAACCCACCCGTTTTGGAGGGGTCCCCTAAAAAAGAAACACCTGTATGTCACCTTGCACTCCCAGACAACTCACCTCGAATGGGCCAAGCGAATGTTTCAAGCCTCAAAGGAAAATATAGGGACTCCAGCTTTCTCAAGATTCCAACAAAATAAGCTCAGGCGATATCCCCAACAGCACCACACCCTCCCACAATCCTCCGCCCGGGACCCACCTCACCACCAGTTTTGCTGAGGATGCCGCCTTGTAACTTGATGAAGCAAAGCTAAGTCGGGGCCCGACGGCACAATCGGGGCCCGATCGGGGCCCCACAATCGGGCAGCTCTTCGACTCCGTGGAGGCCAAGTACAAGCGCCCCGACATGAACGGGGACCTGAGGCTGGGCTTCGCCTCGAACGACTTCTCAGGGAGCGAAGTGGAAGAACTTGACGGGGACGGGGACCGCCCGGTGGACCGATGGTGCAATTGGGGCCCGAGCGGGGCCCGACCGAGCGGGGCCGGATGGGGCCCAACGGTGCAATCGGGCCCCGACCGGGGCCCGATGGTCCCGTGGCGCAAGCGGGCTCCCACCAACCCCACACACCCATATTATAGCTCAACGCCGGTTTTCATTAGGATGCGGCCTTACAACTGTATCCAGCAAAACTAGGCGACGCCAGCTTGGTAGTTGATGGGGCCCGATCGGGGCACGGCGCAATTGGGGCCCGATCGGGCCCCGACGGTGCAATCGGGCAATCGGGCCCCGACCTGCCCGACTGGGCCCGCAAACCGTTTTTCGTGGAACCCTCGGTGGAGCTCAGCGTGAAACGTTGTTGGAACCTTTCCTCAGGGCTGCCCCATAGCTTTTGCAGAACCTGGTGGAAACCTCGTGGAGCACTTTTAGAACTTTACCCCGTAGCCATCGCAGCCTCGTGGAACCCTTGGAACCCAACGCCCACCAAGTAATACTCAGACATGCCAAGCATTTACTCTGCTACACACTGAGTCCCGCAGCAACGTGATCTGATTTGCCACAAAGCCAACGCGTTGCCTGGTGGAACCCTTAGATCAACCACCCGGTGGTGGAACGTTGGTGGAACCCTCGTGGAACCTTACCCCGCACCACCCCGCAGCCCTTGCAGAACCTGGTGGAACCCTGGTAAAACCCTCGTGGAACCTTACCTCAAACCACCCCGGACCGCAGCCCCTGGTGGAACCCTTAGATCAACCACCCCGGTGGTGGAACGTTGGTGGAACCCTCGTGGAACCTTACCTCAAACCACCCCGGACCACCCCGCAGCCCTCGCAGAACCTGGCGGAACCCTGGTGGAACCCTCGTGGAACCTTACCTCAAACCACCCCGGACCACCCCGCAGCCCTCGCAGAACCTGGTGGAACCTTGGTGGAGCCCTTGTAAAACCTTACCTCAAACCACCCCGTACCACCCCGCAGCCCTCGCAGAACCTGGCGGAACCCTGGTGGAACCCTCGTGGAACCTTACCTCAAACCACCCCGGACCACCCCGCAGCCCTCGCAGAACCTGGTGGAACCTTGGTGGAGCCCTTGTAAAACCTTACCTCAAACCACCCCGTACCACCCCGCAGCCCTCGCAGAACCTGGCGGAACCCTGGTGGAACCCTCGTGGAACCTTACCTCAAACCACCCCGGACCACCCCGCAGCCCTCGCAGAACCTGGTGGAACCTTGGTGGAACCCTTGTGGAGCCTTACCTCAAACCAACCCAGACCACCCCGCAGCCCTCGCAGAACCTGGTGGAACTCTGGTGGAACCCTCGTGGAACCTTACCTCAGAACCACCCCGAGCCTATCTGGGCTGAGACCCAAAGCTTTCAGCTGTTGGGGAAAACACGTAGATGTAGCTTACTTAGGTACTTGAGAGCTTAGGGGGGCACAGTAGACCGTTACCGGAGCGGAAGGAGCAGATAAAGCAGCATCCGTGAAAACCGGGTTCCAGTGAACGGGTGCCGATCGCTGGCACCCAAAGGGACAATCCGGTATGCAGAAGCTGAAGACAGGCCACTGGGCTACTGGGTTGACTCCCCTTGCGTTTGTGGATCAAGCTTGGGCGACTGCGACCTGAATATTGCCAGGCCTCACCAACTCTTTTGCCCTTTGACTTTTTGGGTTCCTGCATTCTCCCTAACCGGCAAGCAGTTGTCACTTTGTGCAGAGACCTGGTCAGATCGATTCGTTGGGGGTTTGCCTTCTGAGGCCCATTTGAGAGACATACCCAGTGGGTTGCATCTTCTTCTCAACCTTTTCCCATGCTTCCCCTTCCACCTCAACCAACTGGGAAGGCATAGCTGTTATTCATGGTAGATCATTGGTGTAGCTGATCGAGTGCATACTACCATTTGGAGGTTGGGCATATAATACTGGGGTTCCTTTAAAGGGAAGCCAACAGCACTTGGGATTCTCGGTAGTATCTGTGAGCAACTTATTATGTGGAAAACCAAGGTATGGTACCCTATGATGGTTTCGAAATCCATTTCGCACCGCCTAAGAAACCCTGGAAAATGATTGTTACCCTGTTACCAACAAACAATGGTGGTCCGAGGGTTGCAAAGTGGTGCAAGAATCCGTCCATTCACAGTTGATTCTGGCCCAAATTTCGTCAACCTCATGCAAATTCGTGTCAACACATATCCCAAAAGAGGTATTTTTTGTCCCAGAATAGCATAAGTCCGCCCAACATGAGTCATTTTCCGTTGGTGTCCGGTCAAACCACCCCCCCAAAAAAAACAAAAACAAAAACGGGTACCTAAGGAACCCCCCCCCCTATGGGCTCAAGAAATTCCCCCGTGCCAAGACGCCAAAGGCCCAAACTCCTTGAGCAGCTTGCTCATCGAGCCGCCCGGTACCTCCAGCGAGCCCGGGGATGGAAGTCTTGTTGGTGATTGTCCAACCAATGGTCTTCCCATGTAAAGGACTTTTTGATCAACCCCCAAATGTTGGAAATGGTGCACAATTTGAACTGGTGACTGCTTTGAACCAAATAGGGTGAGGCAGCTATGTTTCCTTCCGACTTGAACAAACAATCGGACAACCATTTTTTCCCAACCCAAGATCAAACAACATGAACAAGCAACTGGCCAACTTGCTTATTTCCCAATCCAAACTTGGATTCACTTCAACAAGCTTCAGTGCTGCTGACGGAAAGTGAGCGACAGGACCTCACGAACCGGGTCCCCGCATAAGGGTCCCAGGGGTGGATCGTAGCTTTTTTTGGAGTAGGAAAAAATGTTTGTTGTGTGTGTGTGTGTTGTTTTTATCTTGAATGAGGAAGCCGAAGCGAAACCTGTTGCGCCATATGTTTCTTTTTTTGGGCGGGGGGACCCTCAACAAATTGACAAGCCCATATTTCGAACCACCGACGACCATGATTCCATGGAACTAGGTAAGGCGTGTTCGACCAACACATTCATAGCTCCACTGTCCCCTTTCAGCGGAATAGGCTGGAAATGGAGTTCGGGATCCTGACACGCCCCGTCCTTAAGGTGGGGATGATCAACTGGACTAGCAACAGGGGGCCCAAAAAAAAATCTGCCCCCCGGTCCCTTTGAAGGCAAACCCAGGAGGTTGTTTAAACCATGGTGGCTTCAACATGTTTGAATTCCAAAGTCGCCTGTCCAGGAAATAGTGTGTAAGACTATCTGTCAAGGGGTAGGTGTCATCAACCCAGTGAAAATTGCCAAACTCGTGAGGATGTTGGGTGCTGAAAAAGGGAAGGGTTGGCCAAGTCCTGCTGAAAAGGAGGTCCAAAGGTACGACATGGCCATGCCGACCTGCAGTTGAGCCCCTAAACATGTTGTGTTCATAGCTCGTGGCGAATTGGCCTGCTGTGCACCGTATATTTTTGTCGCATGCACGCGCGAGCGCAGGGCGCCAACCAGAAAAGCGCCCGCCCGAGCACCACCAACAACAGCAACTGGAGGACCAGCATTGCAGCTGCGGAGCATACTCCAGCTGGATGTAGAAGCTATCCTTGGTGCACTCAAAGCCCAAGCACGCCACGATGTTGGGGTGTCGCAGGTCCTGCCAGCGACCGGCGTCCGTGCCTGCACCTGTGTCCTGGCTTCCCGCCCTGAAAAGGAGGGTCTTTTTCTGTAGTCTATTTTAGTAGGGGAACCCTCCCCCAAAAAAGGGTAAAAGGGCACTACTAGGGGACCCAGTCAAAGCTGTGCTTCCCAAAAATCATGTCAGGATCTGCCTAATCTGGCCTCTTTTCGCGTTTCGGTTTCTCTTTGGGACGACCCAAACACTTCCGACCAAAAGCGCGTAACGAAAACTGAAGCCGCCACATTCGTCAGCATCCAACAAAAGTCAAACCAAGAGGGTGCCTCTTGGAGGGTGGATTTAAAGGAAAACCAAAGGGACGAAAGCCCATTGGGGGGGTTGTTTTGAGCAATTCGAAAGCGGCTAAATCCACTTCGCACCAGTGGTAGATGGTTTATCCCATTCTTCAAATCGATGGGTCGTCCATTCCAATTGCTGCCTGGCGCAGATTGTGTCCCTTAGCGCGACCATTTGGGCATGTGTCAAAGGGGTTTGGACCCTCCCATTTTCTGGTGGCTCTCCGTGTGGGTCGCCTTCAATCCAACCGCTTGCTTGGGCAATTACTGCACACATGGCTGTGTCCTTTTTCTAGGGGACCCCCCAAATTGAGATGTTCCTTTTTGTTTTCCTTTAAGACTTGCTGGTGCTCAGCTGGGAATGAGGGAATGATCCTCATAAACCATCCAACTTGTGGTTTCCTTTAAGGGAATCCCAGGGTTCATTCCTACATTCCCTAGCACCAGCCAGAAAACCAACAAAAAGATACAAAAAGATAGGTGCCCCAAGCGACTTGTTCGCAAACCAACCAATCCCCTCCTTGCAGATGCGCAGCTCTTCTTGGAGACGTTCCCTGCCGCTGAGGGGGGGGGGGGTTGGGGGTTGGGTTGCAGGTTGGGTTGCGGGTTGGGTGGTGGGGGGTGGGGGGTGGGTTGGGGGGGGAGGTTGGGCGGTGTGTGTGTGTGTATGGGCGCAATTCCTGTGGATCAGCCTTCAAAAACTCGGAACAAACCAGAAAAACAAACACCGCCATTTCAAAAAAACTGGTTGGCTTCAAGGGAAGCCCGTGTGCGAAAATCCAAAGTTTGGCACCTGCCCAACACGAGGGTCGAACATGCGACCCAAACCACTTTTCTGGGGGCGTGGCTACTGACAAGCTTGCCACTTCCTGATTCACAAACAGGGTACCTCCTCATAAACAAACCTGGCACACGAACAGGTGCTACTGCTTCTTTCGGCGATTTGGGCAATTTCAATGACCTAGCAATGGCTCTGTGTCCCATACGGCCCAAAGATCCGGCGTTCGAGACATGCGAGCTCACTTGCCAGGGTCTGTGTGCGAGTCAGGGGCCTCCTTGGAGGCTCCCAAGGCTTACCTTTCAAACCCTTGACTTCTGCTACCCATTGTCTTCCTTTTGGCGGGCATTTGGCCTGAACATGCAGTCAAGCGAGCCCTCCCGCCAAGGCAAGCCTCTGGTGAATTCGTTGCGAGTCGCTACCGAGCAACAACATGAATCCCCAATCATAGATCGAGCAAGTCCCTTCTTGGTGCGTCACCTTGAAAGTGCACACTTGTGGTTTGGCCCTGAATTCTGCCCGTGCAGGTCATTGACCCATCGACCCATCGACCCATTAAGGGTAGGCAAGATTTGTTTGTTTGAGCAACCAGACCCTGGCTCCCTCTAAAGGGAACCCTGCAGAAGGTTGCTCAAACAGCTTGGTGACTCAAATCGTGCTCGAGCAACTCAGTGGTTCCCTCCTTCCGTGCGAAAAAGTCAAGCTTTTTAGCGGGATATGTCAAACATCCCTCTAAGACTCAAAATCTCTCAACGTCTAAACGTCTAAACGTCTCAAAGACAAACATTCCAAAAGTCTAAGGACCCATGAAATATGGCTGTGGCTCCAAAAACCGGTACCAAAATGGACTCCTGGTAAGTGGAAACATGGACCAACACCTGCGTAACCCCTCCTGTTGAATTTTGACACCCATATGGTTCCTTACCCAACAAAACCCGACACTCAAATCGCCCATGCTGCCCATCCACCCCTTTGAATCGGTCGCCTCAGCTTCTCATCCGCCTCTGCTTCCAGCGGCGACTGCTTCACTGCGAAGATGCGGCCTAGCGAATCAAGAGATCATTCGGAAAGCAGCGAAGTGCCAGAGAAAAGCATGTTTGCTAATAGACATAATACACACATAACAGCGTGATGAACAATATATATATATATATATTTATTATATATATATATATAGACATGCAAACACGCGAGCACCTAGTTGCCTGTTTGTGTTTGGGGCTCTAAAACAAACATGGCTCCACAATCAGTGAGAAGTCAAAGCCAAATTAGAAGTAACACTAGGAACACTGTAAGGACGGAAGCGCATTGGTGATTCATGGCCGCACTCGACAAGAACTGTTGAAGTTTTTCTTCAAGGTGCTGGTCGCCGCAGCACGAGTCCAGATTTTGAAAGACCCGCGGATCTCCCTGGGAAGGACTTTGCCCTGGGTCGGTTGACTTTTAGACATATGGCCGTGGTTGTCAAAACCAATGGGATCCCATTTTGGGGTAGGTGAATTCACCGCCCATTTAGAGCCTCTTTTAGTGGGGATTGGGATGTTCACTGGGTACGATTTGGATTTGGACCCATGGCCATATGCAGATGCTAGGAAGATCGGGCACTAGAGGTCTCGGCATCTAAGATCTGTAAGTACAAGTGGCCATGGGTCAAGAGCCTGGCTACCCCCCCAGCGCACATCCCAATCCCCTAGCCCAAAATGGGACCCCAAAACGGTTCTGACCACCACGGCCAAATGCAAAAAGCCAGGAAAGCGGCCCAAGCAAAATGGAGCCCTGTCGGTCAACTCGTGCTAGAACGGAGTTTAGGCAGGAACGGCCTTGGCTTCCCAGACGAAAGAAGAGCCAAACTCGAGCAAGTGATACAGGGATCCTTACAGTGAATACACATGATAGTTGATTGTGATACAGTGATTAGATAGTTGATTGTAGAAGTACATACAAGTGATACAGTGATACAGGGATACCTGAACATTGCAACTTGTAAATGGTGGTTTCAACCTTTATTTTGGCGTTGAAAAAGCAACATGTTTTAAATGTGTGCAAAATGTATCTTTTTGAGGAGCCCTGTGATACCCTCTGTTTTCAACTGGGCTGAACTAAGCAGGACACCGACGGGAACAACATGGATGCCCACAGACCTCGCAACTGGGCTGGTCTTGGACCCCCAACCAAGCATATAAACTGCTTGATACTTAGCTGAGGAAAGAATGACTTCCCAAAAGGTCAGAAGCCTACATTGCGTCATTTGCACCACCGCGGGCCCAAAAGGTCCAACATGTTTCGGCCGCAACTGGCCTCATGATCAAAAGTCACCCCTAAGTGCCGGCTTAAAGGGAAACAGCCCCATTTTCTTCTGACTTTGACCCCCAGAAACGGTCACAATACTGACCCCACCAAGAGCAACCATGAAGCCGCGCGCCTGTCTGCTTCTCCAGGGCCTTGAAGACCTTGGGATTTGGCCGTCCCCCAGAAGCCCACGGAAACATTTTCGGGGCAACATGCTGAGTTGAGACGATGAAGTCAGCTCGGTACGGTTGTTTTTTCCCATGGGAACCCAAGGGGGTTGCTGAGGAATCAGTGACTATTTGCAGAAAGAACAGTAGCAACTGGTGGATGCAAAAGCTTTGAATGAGCAATGCAGGGTTGGTGACGAATGAGCCCGTGAGTCTGCCCACCAAGAATAAAAACCGATTTTGCTGGAGCCTCAAAACCTTCATCTAGCTTGTGGCTCCTCTGAAAGAGTGTTGAATTTTGGCATGCCCACTTTTTCCCAAAGATTTGTCTTATTTGTGAGGTTCAACATGTCCTAGCTTGTTTTGGGGGCTCAAAAACCACAGCCCAGAACTCACTTAACGACACCCTAAGGCAACCCTAAAGCTGCTGCCAAACCAGCTGCACACCTAGCACAAATCAGCTCCAAGAGCAAACCCCAAAGCATTGGTTTTGACCCACAGCCATATCAGCCCCCCAACCAACCCAAGACTCGCCCTTCAGATCGCCCACCGCTACATCAGCCGAGCAATGGCCAATACGAGCCCTGAAAGCCCGGGGGCCACGGGAGGCCGGCGATGCGGCCAACCAACCAACCAACCAACCAACCAACCAACCAACCCGGGTTCTGCATGTGTGCCCCAAACCGTGGGACATGCCGCCAAAACCACGCATGTGGAAGAAACCTGGCGTTGACCCAAACCAACCAAAAAAAAACAAAAAAGCAGAGGGGTGGGATGGCATCCACTGCAAAAACAAAAAAACAAAAAACAGAAACAAAAAACCAAAACACAAAAAACGTGCCAAACCCCCCCCCCCCCCCGTCCGTCTCTCCCCCGTCTCTCCCCCCTCTCCCCCTGGGATCGATTTTCAGCTCCGCGTTTTATCCGTCCGTCCGCCGAGGGGCGCAGGCGTGGGCTCCGGCGCCGATGGCGGCGCCGCGGATCCAGCCGAAGCCGCCGGAGACCTGCGGCGCCTGGGAGCGTTTTTTGGATCGCCGGACCGAACTCGGTGGTGAAAAAAGCGAACCCTTGGGTGTTTTGCTTGCTTGGCTTTTTAGGTTGTTGTTGTTTTTTGTGGTTGTTTTTTGTTGGGGGGCGAGGATTGTTGCTTGAAGTTTTGTTTGGGACTGCAACAACTCGTCCTTTGCTTTTTGGGGGGGGAGGAGGGGAGGGCGGGTGAACCTTTGCAGCTCTCTTTTATATTTGTGTTTTTTGTTTGCTTGCTTGCTTGCTTGCTTGCTTGCTTGCTTGTTTGTTTGATTGTCTTTTTGTTTGTTTTTTTGTCTGTTTGATTGTTTGGATATATATATATATATATATTGGGGGGGGGGAACCTTTTGTTTGGCGCGCGCCGCACAAAAAAAAAGAAGGAAAGCTGCCCCAATCCCGCCCGACCCAACCCACACACCCTCCCACATCACCCCACCCCACCACCACCCACCCCACCCCACCACCACCCACATCACCCCACCCCACCCCAACCCGCCCCACACCACACCACCAACCACCCCACCCCACACCACCAACCCACCCCACACCACCACCACCCACATCACCCCACCCCACCCCAACCCGCCCCACACCACACCACCAACCACCCCACCCCACACCACCAACCGCACCCCACCGCACCCACACCCCCACCGTGGAACCCTTTCCTTCGAAGCCGCCGTCTCCTCGGAGCTGGAGCTGGGAGTGGTGGACCGCGAGGAGTTCCGGAGCTGCGAGCCTCGCGGCCGAGAGAGGACTTGCGCGCGCCCTTGGTTGACGCTGGAAGGGGAGCAAAAAATCAGATGTAAGTAATAATAATAATAAATATATATATATATATAGATATTAACAAAACAACAAAACATAATTAAGATATACATATATATATATATTAAAATAGATTAAAACTGAAAGACATAAAATTATTAAATGAAATAATATTAATATTGATATTAATACTAATAATAATACTAATAATAATATTAATAATAATATTAATAATAATAATAACAATAATAATAACAATAATAATAACAACAATAATAATAATAACATGATAATAAAGAATTATGGATTTCAACCACTAAACCACCATAAGCAAAATGTACAATGTGTCCCAACAACGGCCATGCTTTCGGGGCTCCCTCCCAGCGAGTTCGCTCCAGCCTGTTTTCTTGTTTTCTCCGGTTCCCACTTTTGGCCTTAGGGGACAAGACTGCAAATCTGGAGGTGCTTGCCTGAAACTGGAACTGGGCCACTGCCAAATCCACTGGTTTCAAACTGGCAAATCTAGGTGTAAGGCCACCAAGGGAAGGGAAGGGGAAACAAGAGGAAGAGGCGTAAAAAAAACAGGCCAGGGTTCCTGAAGAGTGGAAAAAGCCCTTGCAAAATATATTAATAATAATAATAATAATAATAATAATAATAATAACAATAAGTATTACTATTATTATTATCATTATTATTATTATTAAAAACAACCAAAAACTGAAGACTAAGGGAGCACAAATGAAACGGAAGAGCCCCGAGAAACGGAGACAATCTCCGCTCACATGTTCCACTCCCACTTGGGACAGTTTTCCCCGGCAGCAAACTCACGTCGGCCTGTCCAAATGAAAACCTCACTTGAAGGCCACGCGAGGCGCCATTTTCAGGTAGCGTCTTTGGAGCTATGGAGGCTTACCACCAAGATAAGCTTGTAAAAAGCTAGATGGGTATGGGTCAAGATTAAACCACCAGACAAAACCACAGGTTTTAGTCATTGTTGCCATGTACTAGGGTTCCATTTAGGGTACCTATGTTTGACCCACACCCGGAAAACCCTTCAACAAGTGGTACATAACCTCCATACCTCCAAACCCCATAGCTGCAAATGCTCTGGACCATTGGGATGGTGACATGGAGGGCCTCCATGGTCAAGGGATGCCGACACAAAACATGCTACGGGCGGGAAGTGGTGCGTTGCCATGGGCATCACTCACTTGGCCATGGGTCAAACCCCGATTACCCCCAGTGAACATCCCAATCCCCACTAAAATAGAGTAAAATGGGTGGTGCACCCCAAAATGGTACCATTGGTGTTGACCCACAGCCACTTGGAGAACTTGCGAGAGGGATCTGTGGCATGGAATGACACTAGTGGTTTGTTGATCCCTTGCTCTCAGTTCTTTCACTGGGACATGTCATAAGTGTCTCTACAATCCAAAAAGCGAAGGGTGTGGCCGAGAACCTCCAAGTTAGTTTTGGCTAATAAACGCAAAGCAGCCAATCGCCATGTTTCCATGTGCGCCCAAGTGAGCAACTCCCCTTCCATTTTATGAGAATTCGGCAAGTGTTTCAAGCGGCTTTCAAATTTTATTGACTGGGATTGTCTGGCAAATGGGACCAGGGCATTGTGAATGACGAGCAGGGAGCAACACGTTTTCTCGTTTCGTCTTGAGTTGTCTTTCAGGACTGGTCAAAAAGAGCCTGTGTCACTCCAGCCTGAACCAATATGCGACAACATCTGTGGTGTCTAACCCAATGGGCACGGATTTCCAGGATTTCCACAAGTATCTTGGCGTCCGGAGTCCGGGACCGACAAGAGCACAAGCTGGGCTGTAACCAGCGCTCGAATGAAACTGTGGCCATTCTGAGAAAAGCTCGGTCAAGGAAGACACCTTTTCATCTTCCCAGTTGGTGGTTTGGAGCCCGGTGGTTTGGTGGTTTCGGAGGGGTTTCCCATTGACCCTCTACAAGAACCACAACTTCAACGACTTTTGGAAGCTTCTCCAAACATTTCAACCAAACTCGTCGTACGTGTTGACCCTCTACAAGATCCATTGACCCTCTACAAGAACCACAACTTCAACGACTTTTGGAAGCTTCTCCAAACATTTCAACCAAACTCGTCGTACGTGTTGACCCTCTACAAGAACCATTGACCCTCTACAAGAACCACAACTTCAACGACTTTTGGAAGCTTCTCCAAACATTTCAACCAAACTCGTCGTACGTTTTGACCCTCTACAAGAACCATTGACCCTCTACAAGAACCACAACTTGAACGACTTTTGGAAGCTTCTCCAAACATTTCAACCAAACTAGTCGTACGTATTGTCCCTCTACAAGAACCATTGACCCTCTACAAGAACCACAACTTCAACGACTTTTGGAAGCTTCTCCAAACATTTCAACCAAACTCGTCGTACGTGTTGACCCTCTACAAGAACCATTGACCCTCTACAAGAACCACAACTTCAACAACTTTTGGAAGCTTCTCCAAACATTTCAACCAAACTCGTCGTACGTGTTGACCCTCTACAAGAACCATTGACCCTCTACAAGAACCACAACTTCAACGACTTTTGGAAGCTTCTCCAAACATTTCAACCAAACTAGTCGTACGTGTTGTCCCTCTACAAGATCCATTGACCCTCTACAAACCACAACTTCAACGACTTTTGGAAGCTTCTCCAAACATTTCAACCAAACTCGTACGTGTTGTCCCTCTGCAAGAACCATTGACCCTCTACAAGAACCACAACTTCAACGACTTTTGGAAGCTTCTCCAAACATTTCAACCAAACTCGTCGTACGTGTTGACCCTCTACAAGAATACCAAGAACAACTTCAACGACTTTTGGAAGCTTCTCCAAACATTTCAACCAAACTCGTCGTACGTGTTGACGACCCTCTACAAGAACCACAACTTCAACGACTTTTGGAAGCTTCTCCAAACATTTCAACCAAACTCGTCGTACGTGTTGACCCTCTACAAGATCCATTGACCCTCGAACCACAACTTCAACGACTTTTGGAAGCTTCTCCAAACATTTCAACCAAACTCGTCGTACGTGTTGACCCTCTACAAGAACCATTGACCCTCTACAAGAACCACAACTTCAACGACTTTTGGAAGCTTCTCCAAACATTTCAACCAAACTAGTCGTACGTATTGTCCCTCTACAAGATCCATTGACCCTCTACAAGAACCACAACTTCAACGACTTTTGGAAGCTTCTCCAAACATTTCAACCAAACTCGTCGTACGTGTTGACCCTCTACAAGATCCATTGACCCTCGAACCACAACTTCAACGACTTTTGGAAGCTTCTCCAAACATTTCAACCAAACTCGTCGTACGTGTTGACCCTCTACAAGAACCATTGACCCTCTACAAGAACCACAACTTCAACGACTTTTGGAAGCTTCTCCAAACATTTCAACCAAACTAGTCGTACGTGTTGTCCCTCTACAAGATCCATTGACCCTCTACAAGAACCACAACTTCAACGACTTTTGGAAGCTTCTCCAAACATTTCAACCAAACTCGTCGTACGTCGTACGTGTTGACCCTCTACAAGAACCATTGACCCTCTACAAGAACCACAACTTCAACGACTTTTGGAAGCTTCTCCAAACATTTCAACCAAACTCGTCGTACGTGTTGACCCTCTACAAGATCCATTGACCCTCTACAAGAACCACAACTTCAACGACTTTTGGAAGCTTCTCCAAACATTTCAACCAAACTCGTCGTACGTTTTGACCCTCTACAAGAACCATTGACCCTCTACAAGAACCACAACTTCAACGACTTTTGGAAGCTTCTCCAAACATTTCAACCAAACTAGTCGTACGTGTTGTCCCTCTACAAGAACCATTGACCCTCTACAAGAACCACAACTTCAACGACTTTTGGAAGCTTCTCCAAACATTTCAACCAAACTCGTCGTACGTTTTGACCCTCTACAAGAACCATTGACCCTCTACAAGAACCACAACTTCAACGACTTTTGGAAGCTTCTCCAAACATTTCAACCAAACTAGTCGTACGTGTTGTCCCTCTACAAGAACCATTGACCCTCTACAAGAACCACAACTTCAACGACTTTTGGAAGCTTCTCCAAACATTTCAACCAAACTCGTCGTACGTTTTGACCCTCTACAAGAACCATTGACCCTCTACAAGAACCAGAACTTCAACGACTTTTGGAAGCTTCTCCAAACATTTCAACCAAACTCGTCGTACGTGTTGACCCTCTACAAGAACCATTGACCCTCTACAAGAACCACAACTTCGACTTTTGGAAGCTTCTCCAAACATTTCAACCAAACTAGTCGTACGTTTTGACCCTCTACAAGAACCATTGACCCTCTACAAGAACCACAACTTCAACGACTTTTGGAAGCTTCTCCAAACATTTCAACCAAACTCGTCGTACGTGTTGACCCTCTACAAGAACCATTGACCCTCTACAAGAACCACAACTTCAACGACTTTTGGAAGCTTCTCCAAACATTTCAACCAAACTCGTCGTACGTGTTGACCCTCTACAAGAACCATTGACCCTCTACAAGAACCACAACTTCAACGACTTTTGGAAGCTTCTCCAAACATGTCAACCAAATTATGCGTACGTGTTGACCCTCTACAAGAACCTCTACAACAACCACAACTTCAACGACTTTTGGAAACATTTCAACCGTATTGTCCCTCTACAAGATCCATTGACCCTCTACAAGAACCACAACTTCAACGACTTTTGGAAGCTTCTCCAAACATTTCAACCAAACTCGTCGTACGTGTTGACCCTCTACAAGAACCATTGACCCTCTACAAGAACCACAACTTCAACGACTTTTGGAAGCTTCTCCAAACATTTCAACCAAACTCGTCGTACGTGTTGACCCTCTACAAGAACCATTGACCCTCTACAAGAACCACAACTTCAACGACTTTTGGAAGCTTCTCAAACATTTTAACCGTAAACTAGTCGTACGTTTTGGAGCCGCCCGAAAACCGCTTTTCCATCTACCTGGGCTCTTCGACACGAACGGGGAACCCCCCGCCTTCGCGGCGGGACTTGCCTATCGCCGCGAGCTGTCTGTCACGCTTCCCTTTGAACCAACCCGAACAAGGGGTCGCTTAGAAAAACACGTCTTATTCAGGAGATTGTGGCTGTGGGTCAAAACTAAACCACCAGGGAACCGCAGGTTTTAGTCCATGCTTCCTTTTACCAGGGTTCTATTTTGGGTACCTACTTTTGACCCACAGCCATATGAGCCTACTTAGAAAACACACAAGCCCGGGGAGACTGCCTGTAACTTTGGCACTTATCAAAAGTCGGCTGCATTCAACGACGCCGGATCAGGGTTTGCTCCATCGGGCTCACTTCAGGCTTTTGTTTCTCAGCCTCGGATTGCTTGGTGGGGTGGTCAACCCCTCACCCTCTACAAGAATTAGGAAAGCAAATCCCCAAACCAATCCAAACCAGGAAGCTGACGGGGTCCAACGGAGGAGCTATGTCTTCGGCGGATCCTCTGAAAGAAAGCAAAGATGTGCAGTTCTGCCAATAAAATCTAGCTCGTGCATCAAGCAACCTGGCTAATTGACTTGATTCCTGTCCAACGGCGATAAACTGTCAATTGAACAAAAAAACATGCTTGGTGCTTTGGGCAGGCTTGGTCAGAAGCTCTTATGTATGCCACTTTTTTTGAGATACAAGTTGCAGGAGTTTGTCAAGCAATTCAAAAAGTTGAGCGGGAGTCTCAACCAACGCAGCTCCATGTGTGGTTGCATACCTTTATACAATGTGTACGTGTGTACATGTATGCACATGTGTGTATACATATATCTATATATATATATATATATATGTATGACTATATTCATGCATGTATGTAAATGTATATGTGTATTGTATATACATATAGACACATGGACACTGATAAGCAGAACCATATCTCATGGTTAACACGAGCTCCCAAGAGTCTTTCCCGCATTTCAGTGCGGCCTTCTGGGAAACTCTGATTTTGATAACTCCCACAAACAAACCATCCAACATTTGGCAGAAGGCTTTGGCGAACTATGACTACTTTGTTACCTTCAGCGCTCAACACAGAAAGTGGCAACCCAAGCTGCTTTGACAAAGATGAACTCACCTAACACACCCAACACACATGCCTTAAAAGGAAAAGCTGATCTTCTGGTTCTTCCTCGCCCACGTGATATCTGAAGTTGCGGCCAGGGCTTTTACGCATTTTTTCGGAGGTCGGCCAGGAGCTTTTGATCAACCCCCACATGTGGCTTTGGGCATCCCCTTTCAAAATGCGTATGGGAAATCAAATTGTCAAAAGGAGAAGAGAGACATTTGCGGGGGCCAATCCCAAAAACATGGGCTGTTTTCTGAAGGGCCGGCTAGGGCAAGAAGGCGACTCGAGGCTAAGGCCCAACAGGGCCCCACTCCCAACAAAGGCCAAAAGGCTTTCGAAGAACTCCAAGAAGAACGTCGACCCAGCCCACATTCATCAACCCCGGTCTATGAATATGGGGCTGGGTTTTGGCTGGCGCCAAAAGAGCACCCCTATTAAATTGGGGTTGACTAATATGGGGGTCAACATTTTTTTACACGCAGGCCCACACCCCCACAACCTGGCGGGCGTGTCCAGGGCCCCGGGCGGATCTTCTTGCTGTCCGCAGGCGCGGAGTTGGGGGCCGGCGGGAAGTCCGCGGTGCCCAAGGCCTGCGCAGGGCGAGGGGCGTTCGTTGGCCCCTTAAAGGCAGCTCACTGTTCGAGCCGTACCTTCGCCTTATTTTCTTCAGGGATCCTTCTCTTCAAGAAATGAATCAACCTCTTGGGGAAAATGGGTGGGTTTCTAAAGAGAACAATGGGTGAAGAGAATGGGGAATCAATCCAAAGAACTGTAAATTCGCCCAAGCGGTGAGAACCATTCAAGACATGTTGTCGGGGGTGTTCTGACGCTTAGCGTTTGGAAAGTTCGGAGACCCTTTTGACAACGCATGTGAGTGTACCAACCAAAAACGGGTCCCCTCGAAAAAAAGAGACACATCCATATATGGGCCGCTTTTCCCTTCATCATGGGAAGTCACAAACGCCCTGGAACGCAACGTCGCCTTGCGCTTTTCCCATGTAACCACAAGGGAAGTATGGCTCGAAATCGGGCACGCCTTTTTGGACCGCGATTAACGGGAGACCAAAGCACACCAACCACCGGAAGCCCCATGTAAATAATGTGTGAGTCAACGTCAAGAAGTAAAGAAGGCAAACAATACGAGACAAGATGAACACATATACTGCAGGTCAATAAAGCAAAGCAGAACAAAAGCAAAACTACAAAGACATTGATAAACAAAACTACATGAACTACACACACGAGTTGGATATGTAGGATATGCTCAAACATCTTCCTGAAGACATTGCACCTTTATATATTGCAAATGCAAGAAGACGTCTTACCTGGCAGTTTCCAGTTGAAGCTTGGACGTGCAAAGGTCCTGCAGCTTCTGCAGCTTTGTGCTGTTGCTTCGCGCGCAAGCCGCGCGCTTTTTGGGCTGCGCAAGTCATGTTCTTTCCCTCGCAAAACTGGCTGCGATAGGAAGGGAATGCGCAATGGAATGACCCCCAGAAACCATCCCACAAGTGGCTTCCTCTAAGGGAATCCCCTTCCGGTTCATTCCCAGATTCCCTACTGAGCACCAATTGACCTGACAAACCAAGTCATGGACCCCACACCCCTCACCCCATGTCCCCTCCATCCTCCCAACCCCATCACTCACATCCCAACCTCTGGTCCAAAACTCTAGCCTCTACCACACAAAAATAATCCGCCATCGGATGTGGATGTGCATATGTATATATATATATGTATGTGTTTTGTGTTTGCATCTGTATATATATGTATATATGTATACTATATACACAGACATTGGATATGTGACCTCGTACAAGTTCGAGGAACACCAAAAGACCTTGAGGAACCTGAAATCCTGTCCAAAAATCCGAAGAAAAAAAAAGCACGAAAACCACCAGAAAAGCCCAGCCGCCCCCAAAAAAACGCGACAAACATAAACTCAAAAACCCAACCCCCCCCCCCCCCCCAAAAAAAAAAAAAAAAACAAGGACCCAACAAAGGCCCCGGTGCCTCGCTCTCGCGAGAGGCGGGGGCGCTCCAGCGGCCGCGGAACTCCTAAAGGGCAAAAAACAAAGATACAAAACACATATACCACATATGTGTATATATATATATATATTTATTTGTGTGTACGTGCTTGAAAAAAAAAAACAGGCGGAGAAGACAAACAAGAGGAAACCAAAGACAGCTGCAACCAAAAAGAAACCTACACAAAGTCAACAGGCATCATTTGGAACCTAACATTGCCACTTTCCCAAGCATGTTCTTTTTGGAGTGTGCCTGGGGAAACCACCAAGAGGAGACTGCTTTTCAGGGACCTCTTGTGGCTCGTAGAGAAACTGCTTGGGAAGCCCCTTCGGCTTAGTACCAATCTGTGTATACATGCGCACATCGTAAAATAGCAAAAGGTGCGCATGTATTGTTCTTGAGCGCTGTTAAACATCATCCCGTCAAAGGAAACCAGAGCACAAATTGGCAACCGCAAAGGTGGTCTTAACATCATGCGAAAAGGTGTCTACGGCTGTGAAAGACAGGGCTTCACCTCTTCACACCCCGTTTCGGTTAAAAGTTGGAACCAACGACGTGTTCATGTTGCCGGGGGCAAAAATCCCCTCCGTGAGAAAGCTACACCCGCCATTTTTGGGAGGTACTCATCAAATGTTGTTAGCCATGTGACAATGTGAATGCTTCTCAAACTGGTGGTCCCCCAAATGGTGGGTTTCCATGACAAGCGAGTCCACCAATTGGAGCATAGGAGTGTCTCGTGTCTCCAAAAGTCCGATGTTGGGCGATTCACAAAGCCGGGGTCCAGCTACATCGAGGCACACCGCTCGGGGCTTGGGAAGCCTGGACCTCCCAGGAGGTCATCCGCCAGGCTCCCGCAAAAGAAAAAAAGAAAAGAAAACAAATAAAGGAGAAAAAAAATAAAGGAGAAAAAAAAAAAAGGAGAAAACAAATAAAGGAGAAAAGAAAAAAGAAAAGAAATCTACCCCTCTAGTCCCCCTCGGACAACACCCTCTGATCTTCTAGGCTTGTTCTGGGGTTTATTTTGGACATTCGTCACCCAGACCACCCCAGACCACCCCCGGACAACATCCCGCGGTTCTACGAGTCGACCAACCCGGAAGCTCCACAACATATCGCCCAAGAAATGGATCTTCCAAAGGGACCTACATGGCTTCCGCCTGGCTTTACTCGCCATTGGCTACTTCAAGTCCCACTTTTAAGCCTCCAGCGGTAGGTTTCAACCGACACCCCACCCCCCCAGTCTCAACCGATCTCCCAGTTTTTCTGCAGACTTTTGCCCCCCCCCCCCCAGTTTCTGCAGTTGACTTTCACTCCCCCCCAAAAAAAAAATCGGCCCGAACCCTCCGCCCCTTGGCCTCGATCCATTGCGCCGCTTCCATTTCCCCCGCTGCGTTCCCGAACGCGCTCCTCGCTCTCCCTGCGCAGCGGCGGGAGGCGCATGGAGCTCTGCCGCGCCAGGCTGAGCTCCGTGAAGGGCGCGCAGGCGCCGTCCAGACACGGCGCCTCGGAGCCCCCGCGGCGCGTGGAAGCCAAGGGTCGAAGGACGCGGAGGGTTGCGACATCTGGCTGCTGAAAAAAGTGGTACCAAAATGGCACCTCGGTAAATGGAACCAAAGACCAAAACCTGCGTAAGCCTGTCTCTTTAATTTTGAGCCACGCTCATCCGTTCTAGGGCACCCCCCTGGTTTCTGATGATTCCCTGGAAATGCCGCAAACGCTGTGGTTTCAACCATGGTTTCGTTTCGCGGTGCAGGAGTCCGTCCACATGTCACGGCAACAGTGGGATATGTCACACATCCCACTAAGATCTGAAAGTCTAAGCTATCTTGGTTGTTGATCTCACGGTAAGGTAACAGATTGATGGATTCAGCCGTGTCACGCAAAGTAGTGGTTCCCTAATGCCCTGCCCCAAAGCTCACTTCTTTTGGGGCATGTCATCAACCCCGAAAAGAACTCTAGACTCTAGAAGTCTAGAGGGCTTGAAGTTTAAGGGTATGGTTCAACGGTCCACTTCAATACTCGCCCCCTGTCCAGAGCCTCAAATGGACCATAGACAATTGAGGATATGTTGACCGAACCTGTGGGCAAAATCACATCTGGGCTCAGACACACTACAATCTTACGGTCATGACTCAATTTGGCCTTAAAGTACCCACGACCCTGATTGTTCTGGGCCCTTAAGACACTTGCCCCGAAAAATGATCGCCTCCGGATACTCACTTTCAAAGGAACCAAACATGTGATACAAAACAAGCAAACAGGGAAATGTTAGGAACCCTGTGCGAAATGGCATATGCAATCAATATGTACCCATGATGTAAGGGTCAATACACCTCATTCTTCATTCGTGGTGGCTTGGGGATAGCTAAAATCTAGTTGCATCACAAGTATCGACAAAACGCGTCGACCAATCTACTGGACTTGGAGGCGCGTATCGTGTAGGTGACCGGTAACAAAACGAACCGATCCAAGGGACCGCCTGAGCACTCCCAAACCCCCCCTTTCCCCCACCGCTTGGCCCCCGCACTCGGCGCTCATAGGGCCGCAAAGGCGGGCGACGGCTGGGCGAGGACCGCAAGGGCGAGCTCCTCAGCTTCCGTCTCGGCGGTTTCCGTTTCCAGATCTGGGAAAATGGCACACCTTGTGGCTGAAATGGCAAACCCAACCACTAAACCAACTAAGACCCTTAAAAAAATACCCAAGTGGACGGTTGGGAACCGCCAAGATCTCAGCTAATTCCCTCTTGGTGTTTCTCGGCATTGAAGACCCTCCAACTGGCGGCGTGGGATTGGTGTTGTTTTTGTTTGGTTGCCGTTGCTTTCTTCTTCTTCAGCTTCCCTCTGATTGACCTCATGGTGTGGAAAGCCCAAAGGCGGGGGGGTTCTTGGAAGGTTCCTGACCCCTGTTTTTACCCCCCAACTCCGGCTCCTTTTGATTTGTGGTTTGGAGCCTGCTGGTTTGCAAAAAGCGGGTTCCCATTTATCCACAAGAACCAGGTGTTCAAATACCAAAAGCAATCCAAACCACCAACTAAGGGTTCCCTGACACCCCATCCAGCAAACAAACATCTGCCTTTGTTCTTGTTTCTGTGGCTCAGTTCTTGTTGTGGCTCACCAGTCCTTGTAAAATAGCAGCTTTAAATAAAATTGTATATTTGCCGATTTCCTATACTTGGGCCCACATTTTTTGGAGGTCCCTATCCAAGCCCCTATCATTTTTTTTGAGAGGGGGACCCCCTCAGCGTGGGTATTTTCCATGTGAAACGAGTGCTTTTCCAAATTGGGGGGGTTGTGTGCAGTTATGTGTGTATATATCCTCTGACCGCGATCTGCGCTGCAACTTTGGCCAGCTGCATCTCATCCATCTGCATCCTGCACTGAGTCGTCCCACCCTCAACTCTGGGCTAAGACGGCACTTGCAGCAGAAGACATGACCTACGAGGATCTCAAGGAGATCGTGGATGGCTACCTATGCCCACCTTGCGCCGCAGTAGTCGCCTTGCAGAGCTGTTCCTGCTGGAGCTCCAATGTTGTAAATCTTCTGGCGAGCTTCGTCTGTTATACGAAACTTTTCATCTGAACTTTGTCCTGTCACCACCTTATTACCTGCAACTTTGAGAGGCCCTGCTCCTACATCTGCCCAACTGACAAGGTGGCAACCTTCTGCAGCTGCCTGAACTTAAGCAGCTTTCAGCTCCTCCCTGATCTCAGTCCACCTCTTTCTGTCGTCCCAACTGGCACCTTTGAGCTCATCTGCTGAGAAGACCAACTTCTTGCTTGGAGCTTTGGCCCAAAGTGGGACTTGATCACTCGTGCCGATTACCAGTGAGGATCGGTTCTCAACTATCATCTCTGCATCTGCAACCAAATGTGCATCTTCAAGCTCAGCAACTGGAGCAGCACCTAGATGCCAGAGCTTTCTGTCAATATCCTGGAAGGTGAGCTGGGCCCGCACCTGTTCTTCAACTGGTGCCAGGCGAGTAGTCTGATCTTTGCGCAAGTAAGCTGCACCTAGCCATTGGATCAGCTTCTCTGCATAAGAAGCTGCATACTTTGAGCTCTGCTGGAGCTTGGTCTTTCTCTGCAGGGCACAGTCAGCTTCTTTCAGCCAAGCTTTCCTTTGCATCTCATTTCTGCAAAGCTCTGCCGCCAGCTGCTCTGGCAAACCTCTTCTGCAATCTTCCAGCCTCTGTGTGCTCATCTTGAACTTTCTCCTTGGAACTGCCCAAGCTTCTGCTTCTGAGGCTAAGCCTCTTCCAGAATCATCTGAATCTCTTCACTAAGCTTCATATTCTGAAAGGCAAAAAGCTCTTGCTTCCTTCTTCCTGTTGCTTAACTGCCCACCTGCAGTTCCTCTACGCTCTTCCAGAACTGGAGGCCTGCCACTAGTGCAGCTTCTTTCTGCAGCTTGCTCTGCTGCTGCCTCTGGTATGGAACTACCCTGTTAGATAGCACAGGTTCTATCTCCTTGGCTTGCTGCTCTGGTGTTCCAAAAAACTTCTTTTCTTCTCTAAGCTAGCTGGGCTGGGGCTGGGTGCAAGCTGGCTGGAAGCTAAGGACTCTGTTGGGCTTGCTGTCACCTGAAGCTGTGTTGTCGGGCTGGCCACACCTTTGGTTTTCTTGTTGATTGTTTTTGGAAAACCTTCTAAGCTCTTCCTCGCAAAGCTGTCCTGTGTTGAAGCTTTTGCTGCAGATTGTCTTATCTTGGCTGCTTCCTGCTGGGCTTACCTTATAAGTAAGAAACATCGAGAAATCAAAAGAAGGTGTCCAAAATCGAAAAAAAAAAAACATCGGGAATTCGAAAGAAACGATCCAAAATCAAAAAAACATCGAGAAATCAAAAGATTTTGCCCAAAACCGAAAGAACCCTGGAGAAATCGAAAAAACCAAAAAAAACAATCTGGCCAACAGACTGTTTACATGATACCAGCACATTGTCCTGGAATCTTTGGTTTTTTTGGGTTTTTTTTTTTTTTTTCGTTTAGATTTCTCGAGGTTTCTTTCGGTTTTGGGCAAAATCTTTCGATGTCTCGATGTTTTTGTTTTTTGTTTTTTCCGGTTTTGGACAGGAGCCTGACATCTGTAGGAGGGGGGGTAAGGTGGAGAACTGTTTGCATGACCCCAGCACATTGTCCCAGAACTTGTTCCTTTTTTTTTAGATTTCTCAAGTTTTGCGGTTTTGGCCAGAATGCAGCAAAATTAGGTGTGTGCAAAAACCCAACGCTCACAGGGTCCCTTTCTGATTTTTTCCCTATAAAATTTTATATTTTCCGATTTCCTATGTTATCCCCCCAAACAAATTTGAGGTCCCTATCCAAGCCCCTATAACCTCGCTGCGCCCAAGCCCGCACAATCTGACCTTAAGGTGCGTTAAAAAAGAAAAAAGAAAAAGAATGAATGAAGACTATAATGATCAAACGAGACACCAACCAAAAAAAACAAGTAAAAGTGGAAGATAGTGAATAAAAACGTCTGTCGAACAGGAGGCACCAGGCGAGTCACACTAAACGAGCGCCTTACGTCGACAGACCCCGCCCCGCCCACCCCTCCCCAAACCCTTTGAGGCAGGCGGCGGGTCTGAGCCCGAAAAGCTGGGCGTGGACGCGTTGCGGAACATCCCGCGAACCAAAACCGCCAGCCGCAAGTGGGGGAGCCCGCCTTCGGTTTTCTATTCGGGCGTGGACGAAAAAACTCGGGCGAGCCGAAAGAAGAGGTTGTTGCGAGGCCTGACTCAGGCAAGCGAAAAACATCGCCAAGGGCCATGGTTCATGGTGCATGGTGCCACTCTGGAACTTTGCTCTGATGGACCGATCTACCTCGTGACGCAGCCGCTCGGCAGCACGTACCTGGCGAGCTGAAGCGATTGCCTGTGAATTCCACAGGGGAAGCAACAACATGAAGCGCCTGGTTCAATCGCAGGGTGTCCATGGTTCCCGGTACCTGCAATAGTTAGGCTTCAAGTGTTTATGAATTCACAGGTGGCTTCATCAAAGTCCAGGTGTCATAGAAAGCGCCCTGAAACCCAGATTCGGTGTCAGTGGCCTAAACACCCACATACGCATATACACATATACATATTCGCACATACACACATGAACACAAGCCTGGACTCGCTCTCTGAGCTTCTGCGCTTTCTACTTCTTGGGAGTTGTAAACAAAAAAATGGACTTTGTTTAGCCCATCCACTCGGGAAGTGGGTCGAAGTCAAGACACTAAGTGAATTGTCGGAGTTTGCCGGTTCCTTACAAGGGTCCCCTATAGTTCCCCTTTTAGTGGCTTTGCACATCACCTTTTCTGTGCCCAAGGAAAGTTTCCTTTTGGGGTGACGTTCTAGGGGAAATATAGGGGGCCTTGCTTGTGCGAAAAGCCTTGGGCCACCACAAACCGCACAGCACGTGGTGTTTGTCTGTGGGGCGTGCTTTGTGGGAAGCATTGTGGGGTCGGCCCGGGGGTCGAAAAGGGGCCAGCATCACGCCAAGAAGGAAACTGCACGCGTGCATGTTTGCCTGTGGGCATGTGGGCGTCTGGGCATGTGGGCGTCTGGGCGTGTGGGTGTGCGGGCGTTTGTGTGTGCATGTGTGTCTCTGTATGTGTGTTTGCGTACGTGTGTCTGTGTTTCTGTGCGTGTCTGTGTCTCCGTGTCCGTGTGTCTCCATCTCTCTCTGCGTCTCTGCGTCTCTGTGTCTCTGTGTCTCTGTGTCTGTGCCTGTTCCCGTGTCTGTGTGTCTGTCTCTGTGTGCGTGTGCCTCTCTCTCTGTCTCTCTCTGTCTCTCTGTGTCTGTGTCTGTGCGCCAGAATTCGCCTGGTGGTTGGGCATTCTGACCCACTCAGGACATCCGTGGTTCCAAAATGGGGCCCCTGACAAATGGGAGGCCTCCCCGGACCGGCCTTAGGTACGAGCCGAGCGCTAGACCGCGCGCTACGAGCCAAAGGGTCCAAGCGATGGGAGCGTGACCATGGCTCTCCAAAAGATCGTCGGACCCGTTTGAAACGGCTTGCGTTCAAAGCCATAAACTCCCAGAAGGCCTCTGTAAATGGAACCGAGTCTTCCAAAGTGGTCCTGGAGATTCCATGTTAGCCTGGACATGGGTATGTCTTTTTTGAGGGGACCCCCAAAAGGGTGGGGCTTCCTTGTGGTTTCCCTTTAAACACCAACAAAATGGAGATACCCTCCAAAAGCAGACCCAGTATGTGGGGGGTACGACCCATCTTTTGGAAGACGGATTCCAACGAGGGAGGCGAATGCGATTGGTTGGTAGTCCCAAACTGTCTTGAAAGACTCAAGAGGATCTTTATTTCCAACCAACCGCCAAAGGAAGCTCACTCAAAGTTGGCTAGCAAAACCAGCCAACGGGGAAATATAGGGAAGTCTCACGAATGAGGTAAAGCCGAGGCGGCGAGAATAGTTAATTGGACCACTATGATATCACATCATGGCTCTCCCACCCATAGCATTGTTCGACCATTGTCTTCATTCGGGGTCTGCAAGAAAGACCACGTGAACCATCAAATGTATTTAAGACCCTATCTTAATAGGGAACAATGACTATGCAAAGTATGCGCAAAAATATTGACAGGCAAAGCACTTACATTTAAAAAAGGCTTATTGAAGCTTGTTTGCTCGCTGGAAGCCATTTATCTTCGAGAAGGTCAACCGGTCAAAGGTCAAGTCGAAGAGGAATCAAAAGCAGATGGGCGAATGATCGTGGACGATGGACCATACAAAGCCTAGATTCGCTTTCAAAAACTGCAAGCGCAGTTTTAAATCATCATCTTTTATTTGCGTCAGTTCACTGGACAAAACATATTTCCAGTAGCGATAGATTCCCTTTAAAACCAACAGGGGACAATAGAATACTTGTTTCAGAAAATGGAAGTCATGTGCCCTGGCTTTTTACTCTCCCAAAGTCCTGTCTATTTCGCAGCCCTGTTAGAAGACCGGGCTTTCCTTTTCAAAAAAAGGCAAGCTAAAGGAAAGCCAAACCAATGGGCATTGGGTTGAACTGATCTGTGTGTCCTTTTGGTTCCAGACCCCTAGCCTGAGGAAACATGCGGCACTCGTGTGTGTGCTTGGTAGCTAAGTTTGGGAGAAACCATGACCAACAAAAGAGGAGACGCCACTGGTTTTCCTTGTTGGTTGAAAGCAACCTGAAAACGCATCCCGTCTCAAAAAAAAAAAAACTGAGAAGGACCCCCCCCAAAAAAAATCAAAACAAAGGCACAACCTCGAAAACAAGTCCCCTCCCCCCCCCTTCCCCTCCAAAAAAGAAAACACGCAAAGACAACCACCAAACAAACCAAAAGGACCCCCTGGCTGGGTCGCGGCTTCAGGGCCTCCGGCTCGCCGTCTGCCTGCCGCTTCAAGGAGACTCTCCCCACCGAACCGAGGGGATGCCCGTGGTTTGCATAGGCGTCCTTTTGGAACCAGCAGAGGAGCAAATGGAAGCTGTCCAGTAGCGAAATCGAGTCCCCTTTCTCCTTTAATCTCCAGGGGAGCAAATGGAAGCTTGGTTGGATTCAAGGTTTGGCGGGGTCGTCCGGGGTTCCGTGGACGGGGGCGATTCCAGTTCCGAGGAGGGTTCCGGGGATGCGAGCGATTGCCCTTGGGGACATAAACATCAGCAGAGGCTCAAAGGAACCTCCTTGGTGGAGAACGGGGCTTGTCGCTTCGGGCTCAAGCCTTGGGCCCTTCCGGACATGAAACTGGTCATTTGGGCGTCTTGTTTTTGAGGGTAGCCTTGTGGGGGGTGGGTTCAAAGGGAAGCTTCAAGCAAACCTCAAATGCTGAGAGTCCCCTATTGTGAGACACCCATGTTCCTAGGGTCGAGCAAAAGCCCACACTCTCGGGGTGGTTTTTAACAAGCAGAGGGCACTTGGAGGTCATCTGTATCTGCGCTTTGGAGCAACCCTGTGTCACCTGACTGGAAAGTCTCTGGATTTCCTGGTCACAAGGCCATGGGGGTAGCTCAACAAATCAAACCCTGAAGATGTGGAAATGCGACACCTGTTGAATGGGGTCTAAACGTAACCACTGACAAGTCTGAGGTTCACGAAGGCCCCCTGCTCTTACATGTGTGTGTATATATGTGTATATATATATATTTCTGTATCCTATACATACATGTATATACATACATGTATACATTGTATGTGTATGTATATATATATATATATGTATGTATCTGATGTGTATATATATATATGTATAGTTATTGTATAGTACATTGTGTTTCATCCTCCCACCCAAGAAAAAAACACGGGGAACGTATCAAACTTGGTCCGCTTGACCCATCGCATCTGCCCAGTGCCCAAAGCCCGAGATCCTGATATCCTTTTTCACGCGAGCGACTAGCTGGCGACCCAAACGCGACGTATCTTGGCTGTCCCGTCATTTTCGAGGGCATCTCCGAGATGGTTGACGTTGAGATACACGTCGGTGCCATAGCCGTGCATGGACTGTACATGGATGTCCCCGCCGAAGTACCTCACTTCAAAAGTTGCGACACTCCCTCTCTCTCTCTCTCTCAATCCAATGACGGACCCATATGATTCGCTCCAGATAATACCTTGCGTTTTGGAGCCAACGTTGTGTGCCTGCATTCCCAGCCTAGAGATAAAAAGCAAGAGTGCATGCTTGACCTGGCAGGGTTGCTCCAAATGCCCGAAACAAGGTACGTTTGGGAGAACGAACAGCTTTCCCCAACGAAACATGACAATTGCCGGGCCTCTCTGGCCCCGATTTGGTGAACCTCATACGAGTATACACATTCGAGAGTCCGGCACGGCTTCCCATCTCCGGCCCTAATCATGTCTCATAAGAAATTTCTGTTAGACAAGTCTAGCAAGCTCGAGAGATCCCAAATATCGGTAAGCTACCCTCCCTCCAATGGAAGACGATCCAGTTGTCCGGACTCGCTCGCACACCTCACCGAATCTCCGTCGCTCCATGGTAGGTTGGCCACGTGCTCATCTAGTTGACCAGACACCAACTAGGTCCTCCAGTAGAGAGGTTAGACGGTTAGAATAAGGGTACCAACTTGTTTCTGGGGTCTATTTTAATAGGGGAACCCTCCCCAAGAAAGGGGTTAAAGGGCACCTAGCTGCGGGGCCTAGCCAACTTAGCGCCTCACCAGACCTATCTTCTCCCAAACAGAGTCGCCCGGTTTTTGAAACCGTGCACCACGCCGTGCTTGGGGAGGAAAACCAAGCGGTCACCAGAACCAGTGTCTTTGTGTTGCGCCTCACCTTGGGCTTGCTGCTGAAGACCGCCCATTTGACCAGTTCAGGGGAACGAAGTGGTGACAAACCAAACGTGTGGGGGGGGGGGGGGCAACCGGATATCCCTCGACGAACACGAAATGGGAACCACCCTTTGAGACAAACCCATGAAGCCCACCGAACATGGAAGATGCCCAATCAATCGGCCTTGCATATCCAGCCGGCTTAGGTTGGGATCCCCATGAACCCTCTAACAGAGCTGGGATGCCAAGCCCAAGTGGCTGTTGTGAAAGGGAAACCAACTAGGTCCTCCAGTAGAGAGGCTAGAATAAGGGTACCCTTTTTTCTGTAGTCTATTTTAGTAGGGGAATCCCTCCCTCCAAAAAAGGGTGAGCAAGGGCACCTAGCTGGGGGACCTAGCCAAAGAAAAAAACCCGATCTCTTCAACAGCAAAAACAACACTCTGGTGCTGCAGTGCGCTAACCCCAGCGCCTCCAACCGCTCTAAAGGGCATCCTAATTTTGAGAATCCGAGCCTCAAAATGGGCATGGCTCGGCAAATCCCCCACAATTGAGGGCGACATTTTTTGCTTCCCTTCCAACCAACGTGGAAAGCCTTCTTCGGTGCGCCTCAAGAGACCCCTTGCGACCTTGTAGGAGGTCAAAACCAGCCTGAAAAGGGCACCCCCCCAAAAAAAAAAAAAAAAAACACAAGAAGAGCAAATTAAAATAAGCTGAGGTGATATCCCAACAGCACCACTTGCGCAACCCTCCTCGGAACCGCAAAATAAAAAGCAACCTTTGTTGGCATCCAAGTAATTTGGAGAACCCGTTAAATCCCTGGTTTCCAACCTGGAAGGGGTGCCTTCGCAAGCCGAGGCGCCGTGCGTAGACTCGGCTGAGGGGGAGCCCGAAGCCGTAACCGGACAGCCGGCGGGTGGAGGCGGGGTCGAGGCCACAAAGGCCCTGGAAGTCGTCCTGACGATCGGCCCAAAGCACACGACTGACCCTTCAAGGGGTGGAGTTGGGGTGTTGGGGTGCTGGGTGGAGTTGATGGGGTGGAGTTGGGGTGGGGGGTTCTGAGCCTCAACTGTGGACCCCAGATTAATCAACAGAATATTGAGATGGGAGTGTTCCCCTCCAAAAGTGGGCTCATTCCCCATTCCCCACCCAGGGAAAAACAAGCCCGTACCCCCAAAAAACTGGGGCAATTTCATCCGGGGTCAACATCAATCAGGGGACCTGAAAGGGTTCCATTTCACGGGCCTCCAGCTTGCAACAGGACAGTCGTGTATGCAATAGGGGCATTTGAACCAAGGCGTGGGGTACCGGAGAAAAAACTATTTGATGGCAACACCCTTTGTTCCCTCTGAAATCATCGGCTAAAAAGGAGCACCCTTTCTGTTGAAGACCCCCTAAACAAGTAGGAACAACATGCAAGCAAAGGCCCTCCTTTTCTGCGCGGGCAACTTGCTTCATCTTTCGACACAAAAAACGGATTGCGCGCGCTCGAGTTCGGCCGAATGGGTCCTTGGGGGCGTCCGGGTCCTTTTTGGCCCCGGAGTAGCCGTAGCCTCAAGATGCAAAACGGCCAGACTAGATTCAGGAGGGCGCTCCCTGATCAACGCACACACATACACACTTTTTTCGGAAAGGAGGTTGCTCTGGAAACAACGGTTTTTGTTTTTGTGGATCTGCGTAATTGACGTTGTGTCCGCTTTCTCACAAGACAGGTTGCATGTGTCCGCCCTCCCGCGCAGGAAGACGCGCCTCTTTTCAAGGCGCTGGGCGCTCTGAATATTGTGCGGGAGACGGCCGCGGCGTGCGTGGCATGCGTCGCAAGAGTCAAGTGCCTATTGCCTGCAAGACTGCCCTCGCGCGCAAAAGGGCGCGCAAGGCCTCACTGATGAGCTGCGACTCGGTCGACACGTTACGCGGGAAGTCGCGGCTCTTTTTCAACGCACGGAGCACTCCTGGCGCGTGTGCGGGCGCTGGCTGCGCAACATCGGCCACAGCTGGCGGGCACGCGTCACAAGAGTTTAATTTAGCTACTTTCAAGCGGGCTGAGAGTCAAGGGCCTATTGCTGCAAGATCGCCTGCGCGCGCAAAAAGGCTGCTGCAAGATGGTTGACTTGTTGGCGACGCCCGCCAGGAGCGGCTCTCTGCAAGGCACGGGGCATGCGCAGCAGCGAACTTTAACGTGGCATGTGTGGCAAGAGTTTGGCCACTTCCAGGGCCTATGCTTGGCGCCCCACCCTTCCAAAGCTTCCAGTGAGAGCGGCGGGCGGGGAAGCGCAGGGCCAACGTCAGTCAGAAGGCCGTCTACACTGGCGCAAATGCCGATGCTAGTAAGCTCCAACGCGATCCGAAAGGGCTGACATATCAAGTTGGCCTAACCGGCCGACACCTTGAGCCCGGAGCAACCCAGGACCGCTTGCCCAGGAGTCGAAATTGGCCTCGGGGTCGCCTACAAGTGACCAAGCCAGGCATGACTGAAGGACCGAATTTAACTGTTGCACAAAAATCACGAGGCGCGCAGGGCCCTTGCATGAGAAACTGCAAGTCTTGGTCGCGGTCCAATGTTTCATCGTTGGCTGCTCCACCTCAGGGGCTGCCCTCTCGTGTTGGAAACTGGCTGAGGCTTGCGGCTTGCCTCCGGCACGAAGGCTTGCAAGGCTCCGTCGGCGCAAGACACACGAGCGCTTATGGGGCTTCTGATGTTACTATGCGCGAGTCGCAGGGGCAAAGCGCACATCAACAGCTCTTCTCAGGCACCTTTGCCAAGCCTGACTTTGGCAAACTCTGAAGCTCCTTCGGCCTCTGCAAACACTTCCTGCAAACCAGACATTGTCTCGGCGCCACATGCTCCCCGCAGAAAGTCCACCCGCCGGTATGGTTGAGGAAGGAACCAAGCCGAAGCTGGTGGCCAAGAAACCTCCTTCGGATGCAAGATGGCATCTCGACCTCAGTCGACCCATGAAGTGGGAGCATCTGTCGTCCACCTCAGTCTCTGAGATCATGGGCTTGATGTTGCCCGCGCGGGCCCGGAATTTCGATTGCGCCCAAAGGCAAACGTCACCTCGCGCTGGCGCGCACGCGGGCTACCATACCAAAGGTCTGCGGTTGCCGCCGAGG